TGGAAGGACGGCGTGGCCTGTGTACATGCGAGAAGGGTGTCGAGGGACTGAGGAGCGATGCACTGGCAGGAAGCATCTAGGGGCAACGGCTCTTGCAGCACCTGCCCTGGTTTGAGGCTGGGATGTGACCCGTGCGTGCTGTCCCTACGGGGGTGGCAGGGTCAGGCGGGGAGAGAGGCCAGGAGCAGGAGGGGTGGCCACAGGGCTTGGCTGGGGAAGGTGGCTGCAAGCCTCACGGCTGGGGGCCAGGCTGCTGCATGGCAGCATCTCTGCCCTGCTCTGCAGCACCCTGACAAAACCAGGTCTAGTCCAGGAAAGGGGGTTCATCTCCCCACTCCTTCCCCTGGGGTTTTTGTCTCCTCTTGTCTTGCTTCTGCTTGTTTTCCCCCAGGGAGCAGCTGCTCTCCCCACTTGCTCTCCGTCTCTGCGAGCCCTGGGCTGCCAGGTGCTTGTCCGCCTTGGTTTTGCCTGTCCCCAACCCCAGGCTGAGCCCCCCGGCTGCTGCCTGGAGCTGGCACCCCCTTCCCTGGAGCTGCCTCAGCAGCACACCTCCATCCACCCTTTTTTGTTTGAAGCACTTTAATGTCATGGGACAGCAGCTGAGAGGCTGTCCGCGTCCCTTTCTAGAAGCACTGAGTACATTTAGAGAAGGGGGAAGGGATTTTGGCTTATTTGTGGTTTCCACCCTCTGCCATGGACTTTGTCTGGAAGCAGCTGGACTTGCAAACCTGGCAGAGGTCTCCAGGGCAGGGTTGTGCCCAGCACTGACACTGCTGCCCAGCACTGACTGCTTCAAGTAACACTGAAACTGGCCAAGGCAGTGAGCTCTTTGTAAGGGAGAGCGAGGGGCTGCCCCAGCCATCCGCTGGAGCCCTCTGCGTGGGACTATTGCACAGCATAGCAATGAAAACGCCGTCCCTAATAAACTAAGTTAATAAGGGGCCCGGTTGTGTTGTAGCATCATTTCAGGTGGGGTAATGGTGTGTATCCCCCCTCGTTGGGGTCAGTGCTGCAGTGCCCGTTGGCCCCTTGGCTGCCCCATCCCTGCTTGCATCCCTGCTCTCCCCTCGCAGAAGTGTCGTGCATCGCCCCATAAACACCACAGACACAGGAGATACAAACTGTAAACTTTAAAACAACTGTTGAAAGATGTGTGCGTAAGCCCAGCACAGCTCTGGCTCTGCATGGAGCGAAGCAGGGCTTCCCTGCGGGCAGCGTGGCACGAGGAGCCCATTTCTGAGGGCTTTTTCCCCAGAAAAGCCCTACTCAGCCTAAATCTAAGCTGGGGTTAGCAGCAGCAACGGCAATTTTGGATTACTCCTGAGCATGGTTGTTGGAGAAGAGGTTTCTGGCAGGCATGGGCACGCTGAGGCCGGGTGCTCGGCGCTGCCAGCAAACCCGTGGCAGCAGGAGGGCCTGGTGCAGACCTGCGGGGCTCTGGCAGCCGCCCCAGCGCAGCATCTTGAGCAGGGGGTGACGGCACAGAAAAGAGACCTGCAAAACCCTGGGGCTTGATGCAATTACAGTGAGCCCTCCAACAATGCCCAGGGCTATCCCTGGCCGAGGTGTAAGGTGCGAGCTGGCACCTTGGCAAAGGCACTTCTGCCCCCAGCGTTGAGGGGCACGAGCAATCTCAAGGCATGCCGTACCCGTCACTGGGAGAGCGTGCGGGGGGCGTAGCGACGCTCGAACTGGCCCACGTCGAACTTGCGCTTGCAGCCGGCGTAGTTCATGTAGCGGATTTTCCCGAAGACAGCCCGCTCTGGCCAGCCCTGGTCGTGTATGCCGCAGATGGACCAGAGGCAGCCTGCCGGGCATGGGGATGGAGCGTCAGCTCTCCCCTGTGCTCGGAGGCATCCAGAGACAAGGTGGGATGTGAATGGAAAGCAAGATGTGCTGGAGCATGGGCTGGGTTGTCTGCAGAGAGCCCTCCCCTACCCCTCCAGCCTTGGCTATAAGACCCCCCCCCCCCCGTCCCGTGCCCCCATCCTGTAGCTTGCCTACATATCCATTGGGGTCTCTCCCATCCAGCTCGTAGCGGTCATTGAGGTAGATGGCAAACTGCAGGGCCTCCTCAGGAGAGCGGGTCCACTCCAGGATCTTCTTGGCCCAGTACATCCGCAGGAAGCCATGCATCTTGCCCTCCTGGACCATTTGGAGCTGGTGAGAAAGGGACAGCGGCAGGGGTCAGTCTGTGCTAGCTCACCTCCACCCCTCAGGAAAAGGCTCAGCATTTTGAGGGGCACTACCTGGGCAGCATTCCAGAGCGGGTCATGCGTGGTGCCCTGCTCCAGCTCCTGCAGCTTGTAGAGAAAAGGCCTCTTGTCTTTGGCGTGGAGCTTCAGGGTAGTTTGTGCCCAGTCGTAGGCCCCTGTGAGCAAGAGGGATGAGGAGCAACGCTGAGCAACACGCTCCTGCAGGGACCCAAGGAAGGGATGGAGAATTGGGCTACTGAGGGCACCGTGCCCTGGAGGCACCAGCCTTGAAGCAGGCATCTGCCAGTTCCTGTCCTACCTCCAGAAGGTACCCAGTGGTGGCACATTAGTGCCCCCACAGCCTCTCTCCTTGCAGAAATGGGATTGCCAAGTTGGGGAGACCAGTTGGGTACCAGCCCAGCCCCCAGCATTGCCCACCTGACCCGGGATGCTACCTTGCACGCTGTCATAGTTCTCATTGTAGTAGCAAAAGTTTTCAGCCAGCTCCCGCCGCACCACGGCCTCCTCCACAAACGCATCCACCGACTCCTTGTACTTGTCCCGGTGCTTCTGCACCTCCAGGATGGCTCTTTGGGTGGAAACCTGGCCTGGGGATACGGGGAGGGAGCAAGTCGGGCTGCCAGTCCAAGCCACGGTGCTTGGTCCTGCTGCAGAGTGGGAATCCTGGGCCACTCACCAAAGTGGAACCACGGGGACAGGTTGCTGAGCGCCGCCTTGTTAGGGTCATTCCGGTGGGAGCCGAAGGATTTCAGCCGCTCCGTGATGAAGGACTGCAGCACAGCCAGCCCTGTAGTTGTGCCAGGGGTTGCCCACTCCACCTCCTTCACGGTGCGGTCCACCTGCAAGCTGGAATAACAGGCCTCCCAAGAGATGGGCTGGGTGGCAACGAAGCAGCGTGAGTGCATTTGCAGACTTCACTTCAGCCAGGGCTGCCCTGAGTGTTATGTCCCCTGGATGTCCCCAACCAACACGTTCCCAGCTCATGACAGCCATCTCCTCTTAACCAGCCCTGCACGGCAGAGATGTGGGAGTGGAATGAGGTAGGAACCTTCCCTCCCCAGGGTGTCCCCACCTCCACATCATTTGCATGTGACCTCAGGCAGGTCACTGTCCCCATCCCCTGCCATCCCCTCTCAGGATCATGAAACAGGTGTGAAACTTTCTGGGACTGGCTGTGAGTGGGTGTGGAGGTGTCTCCTGCTGGTACCTCTGCTGGGCAGGAGGGGGGGTATGGGTGATGAATGATGGGGGGGAACTCGGTGAGGAACTCGGGGAGCTGAGCGTGGATCTTGCCCCGGATGGTCCTGGCTGTGTACTCCTGTTTGGAGGAGGTGACCCAGCAGGGTATGATGTTGTGGGCATCAACCTGGGAAACAAAACCATGGGGGATGGTGTGAGCAGGAGAAGCAAATGGTCCTGATGACATGACACACACGCTCCCTGCTCAGGCTGTTCCAGCACACCTCTGCAGGCACAAAATGTAGAAGACAAATTCCTCCTGCGTCTCACCAGCCAGTTTTCCCCTCCCACACTGTGGGCACCCACCTGCACAAACGGCACATCCTCCGGCAGCCGCTCCCTGATGTCTTCCACCCACTGCCGGGGCAGGCGGAGGGGACAGAAGTCTGTCACCAGCCCAGCCACATCATGCTTGGCCACAAACGCAGGCAGCACGTCCTTGGCGTAGCCCCGCAGCAAGTGGAAGGGGATGTTCAGCTCTGTACACTCCTGCAGCGAGGGGGGAAAGGGCTGTGGGGTGGTTCATGCTCCTGCAGACCCCATCCCGTTATCCGCTGAAGGGATGGATCCTCCTCCCGCCTTCCCAGGAGCCCTGTCCCACCCAGCGTGGACATCCCCAGAGCAGCTGTACCTCGGCCACCTCCTGCAGACCCCTCAGCATGAAACCGTAGTGGCGGATGGTGGCATCCAGGAATTTGGGCACCAGGCAGAAGCAGACGTGCAGAGGCAGCTCCTGTTTGAGGGCCAGGCGCTGGGCGTAGAGGAAAGCCCAGTTATCTGGGGAGAAAGCGCACGGGGCAGCGTTGGAGAGCTGCTTTGCTGAGGGGTTGGAGGCAGGGTTTTGTAAGACGAATCCTTGCAATCCCCCTGAAGAAGGGGGTCCAGGACATACTGTGGGAAGGGACCAAGGTTTTTACCACCCACGGGAGCTCTGTGTCCTGTCCCCCTCCACCAGCTGGCTCTCACCTTGCACCCGCTGGTCCCGGGACATCCAGTAAAGGATGCACCCAGCACCATCCTTCAGGTCCGAGCCCCGCGAGATGAGGCGAACCCGCTTTTTGTTGTACTTGAACTCTTGCACGGAGGGGGCCGCCCTCCGCCGGGCCTCCTGCAACCCCTCCTCTTCCTCCTTCTTCCTCCGATACACGCGTGGCAGCTCCGTGGCCTCGACCTTTCGCTTCCTTTGTCCCCGCCGCATCTTTAACCCTGACCAGGCCGGTGCCCGGAGCAACGTGGTTGCGTGCGGCCGCTGGGAAGAAGGGGACCGTGCTGAGCCCCCGGTGCTTTGCCCATACCCGGTTCTCGGTTCGCCCCCAGAGCCCGGGGGATGCCGGTACCCGGGGATGCCCGGGCCCTGCCCATCCCGGTCCCCGGGGGTCCCGGTCCCTACCTGGCAGCAACGCGGCCCAACGGGTGTTACACAAGCCGAGGGGCGAGGCGATGGGAGGTATCTTTCGGAGAATGGGGCGTGGAAACGGGCGTGTCCTTCGATGAGAGGGTGTGGCGCTACCACCTGGTACCGCCCCCCCCCCCCCCTCTCCACGCATACTGGGGCCGGTGCTGCGCCCACGGGCGCGCCGGGGACATCGGCGGAGCACTGGCCCCCGGGAGGGGGTGCGTTCCCCGCTGGTGCCTCCCCTCCCTGCCCCCGGGAACGAGGAAGCGGCTCCGGTCACCTTCAACCGTCCACTCGGCTGCGTAGTTCCCCGCTGGCGCCATCCCCGAGTGCAGGGACCTGTCCCCACGCGGGGGAGTGGGGGTGCTGGCTCTGGACATGGCTGGGCAGAGAGGAGGGCTGCCCCTGCTGCTGAGCCTGGCCGCGCTGGGCGTCACGCTGGGTAAGGGCTGAGCGGGATGCAGCGCTCTCCGTGAGGTGGGGGGGAAGTGGGGAGCGTCGTTCCCCAGGGTGGTGGGTGGCCCCGGAGAGTGGGTGAAACACTGTGGGTGCTGTCTGCTCTCTGACATCTTATCCCTGTCCCGGTGAGCAAACAGGGCTGCGCTTTGCAACACAGGAGCGACAAGCTTTGCTGTATTTCTTTTGCCTCTCACGCGTGTCTCTGAGCAGAGACCTTGGTCCCAGCTGGGCCCCCTTGCTGAGCCCGGGTCCTTGCTGGGCTCATTGCCTTTGCTATGACCTGCCCAGCAGCACCAAAGGGCCCTGCCCGGATGGCAGCATCACCTGGCTGTTCTGGGCCTTGAAAACTGCAAATGCCATCCTGCTGTTTGCACTTGACGCAAAGCAAGAGCAGCATCAAGTCGAGCACAGGGAATAAACCCGAGGCTTGTACCTCCTGTGAGCCTTGAGCTACAGCCATAGGTCCCCTCCTCCTGTGTCCCTCAACCCCCCCAGAGCTTTTGTGGGTTGCTGCACATCTCTAATGACTCACCAGCTTCAAAGTGGGATTTGTTCCTCCTTGGCCCCGCTCTGTGGGGCTGCTCCCCCCTTTGCCATTATTTACACCCGGCGCTATCTGTTCCTGACTATCTGCAGCAGAGAGGTTTGTGTAAACTGCTGCTGCTGCAGTTCCAGCCGGTCTCACGGTCACCAGTTCCTGCACGGCTCTTCCCGTCGGGTCGGGTGGGTTTGTCCGACTTCCTCCAGGGGTGGGTGAAGGTGGTGGAACAGGTCTTAGCGCTGGTGCCTACAGGAGTTTCTGCCCCTGAGACCAGCGATGCCCACGGCTTGTTCCTGCTGTGTCAGCCTGGGGGATTTACGTGGCCTGCCTTGATGGTCACGTTGCCATTCAGGGCATTCACGTGCTTGATCCATGCAGGATGGTGAATCCCCACTCCTGATGATCCGTGGCTGACGTGTCCCTCAGGCAGCTCATGGTGGTGGTGCTGCTGAGCTGCTGCCCCAGCACAGCCACGGTCTCAGCCTTTCACTGCCAACCCCTTGCACACCTCGCTCTCCCACATCTTTTCAGGGACTGCTGTCACAGATGTGACAGTTACCGTGTCCCTGACTTCCCCTACTTCCTCAGCACCCACAGAGACCATGGCACTGTTGCCTACCACCAACTCCACCACCGCAGCCAGCCTCCCGCCCTCCAGCCCCGAAACCTTCACAGCCAGCACTGCAACCCCTCGGGGCAGCAGCCCAGCAGCCTCCAGCATCACCACACCTCAGGCAAGCGGCACCACAGCCCACAGCACTCCTGGGTCACCTCCCAGCACCACGATGCAGCCTGACCCCTCCCCAACAGAGCTGGGGCTTATCACTGGCACCCCAAATCCAACTCCCATGGCCACGACACCCAACTGTGCTGAGACCATCATCACGTCTGTGGGGACCAGCACAGCCCTGGCCGTCAGCTCGTTTGGAGTCGAAACAAGCACGCTGCCTCCCCCCACCTCCCCTCTTCTCTCCGCCTGGGTGGGCGCCACGCTCGGCACCAGCACGCACCAAGGGCCAGCCGTGACCGTGCCACTTGGCAGCATGTCCCCAGAGGCTGGCAGCGCCTCTTCTCCCACGGCACCAGCTCCGACACCCGCTTCGGATGAGCCCTCTACAACCCCGTCAGACACCACGGCCACCCCCGTTACCAGCACAGGGGTCCCCGGGAGCACCCCTGCCCCCAGTCTGCCGGCCACGACTGCCTCTGGTACCTCTACCCCGACAGTGCCTGAGACCCCCGGTGCCGCCGCGGGTGAGTGCAGCCACGGGGCACCTGGGGGCATGGGCAGCGTGACAAATCCCTGCGGGGCCTCCCACCAGACTACTCCCCAGCCTTGGGGCTGCCGCCCCGTCTCCAGGGTCTGCGGGCCGGTGGGTGGGTGGATCCCACGCCGTTCCCGCACCCGGGCCGGGCGTGGGCGGTGGCAGCAGCCCCGGGCCACGCCGGACCGAGCCCTACGCAGGGCGGGGCTGGCGGCGGGAAAAGCGGGGGGGGGGGGCGTGGCCGGTGGGAGGGGCGTGTCTGTCGGGTGTGCGAGGGGGTGTGGCTTATCGAGGGGGCGGGGCATCCCCAGCCCTGTGCTGGCTGTACCCCGGCAGTGTGACTGTCCCCCGCCTGTGGGACTGTCCCCAGGAGCGTGACTGTCCCCCGGCAGTGCCCCTCCCCAGGCAGCTGTGTCCCAGCCGTGTGACTGTAACCTGGTGGCTCTTCCCCTGGGGCTGTACCCTGGTGACACCCTCCTCTGTGCGCCTGAACCTGGCAGGGACACCGTACCCTGCCTCGGTGCCCCTGGCTGTGCACGTGCTCCCGGTGCCCCTGTACCCCAGCAGAGCGACTGTATCCTGACAGAGTACCTGGACGCCTAATGCCTACAGCGTGAGAGCACCCCAGCAGAGTGCCTGTACCCCGGTGATGCTCTCTGCGCCTGTGCCCCCCGCCTGTACAGCAGCAGGGTGGCTGTGCCCTGGCAGTTGTCCAGCACGCCTGTCTGCCTGAGGAGCGCCCGTACCCTGGCCCAGTGCCTGCAGGCGCCTCCAACTGGTCCCGTCCCTGACCCCGAGAAGAAGGAAGCAGCTCCGGCTGTCAGCAGTGTGTTTCAGCTGTGACACGGGGAAGTGCTGCCTGTACAGACAGCCCAGAGGACAAACCCTCAGCCCGGAGCACGCCCTTCCTGAGCGCTGCCTGTTCTCTCCGCCAGTTCCTTGCGGTCAGACAGAGCGGGCTGTTGTGTCCCGAGGGCCACCACTGAACATCACCCCTATGCTGGAGCACTGGGACGCTCCCGGGCAATCCAGCTGCTTCCCTGGGCTTTTTTCCGTTGTCACCGTCCCCTCAGCAGGCCGAGGACGGCCCAGTCCCCGGCTGTAGGCACGCAGTCTGCTGCAACGGTGGCCCTGCCAGCCTGCCCTGCCCTCTGCTTGTGGCTGCTCTGGGTCCAGCCTTGCAGCTGATGTCTGTTCAGCATCGCGCCTGTCCCTGGGAGCGTCCGTGTCGGGTGGAACCCCGTCCTTTGCTGCCAACACCTGGGAAGTAAAAGGACCGACCTGGATGCTCCTTTTCTGCCGGTCAAAGGAGACCCAGAAACTCCAGTGCTAGGGCTGTGGGGAGCGCTTTGAGCGGTGCCTGCGGGGGGGCATCAGCTCCCACTCACCTGAACATGGCCGGGCAGAGAGGGGGGCTGCCCCTGCCCCTGCTGCTGCTGAGCCTCGCCGTGCTGCACCTCGCGCCGGGTAAGGGCTGAGCGGGATGCGGTGCTCTCCGTGGGGTGGGGGGTGAGCGTCATTCCCCAGGGCGGTGGGGTGCTTCGCCTGCAGCAGGTCCCTGTGGGGTGCAGGGGGTGAAATGCTGCAGGTGCTGTTTGCTAAATGGGAAGCAGAAGTGGACTTACAGCTCCTCCTCTGTGTGAGAATGGGGCCCTTCAATGCAGACACCCACCGGGGCATGGGCTGGGACCAGACCTTTGCCCTTTTTCACATTATTATTTACCCAGCTGCTGCCTGCAGCAGCTCAGGGAGTGAGTGGCTGCTAGGGGCTTTGGTGGTGGGGTTGGCTCAAAGCAGCCAGCAGCTCACGGCTTGGTTCCCAATCCCCACATGAGCAGAACCCCAGATTCACCGGGTTTGTGCTGGCAACACTGGGGAATCCAGCCTGGCATCTCAAAGCTACCACTTTGCAGGCACCCCTTGACAGAGGCCTGGGCAGCCATGCTGTTTTGTGCATCCTTTTTTGAGAGGGTTAGAGATGCCTCGGTTTCCCCAGGAACAGTGTGCTGCCCTGGCATGGGGTCTGTGCAGGCAGAGAGGAGATCCATCCCTGCATCCTTCAAACCCTCCCCGCAGAGCTTTCAAGGGTCGCAGCACGTCTCTTAACTCATCCTGAGCTGCAAGCTGGGATTTGTTCCTCTGTGGCCCCCCTCTGTGGGGCTGCTCCCCGCTTTGCCATTATTTACACCCGGCGCTATCTGTTCCTGACTATCTGCAGCAGAGAGGTTTGTGTAAACTGCTGCTGCTGCAGTTCCAGCCGGTCTCACGGTCACCAGTTCCTGCACGGCTCTTCCCGTCGGGTCGGGTGGGTTTGTCCGACTTCCTCCAGGGGTGGGTGAAGGTGGTGGAACAGGTCTTAGCGCTGGTGCCTACAGGAGTTTCTGCCCCTGAGACCAGCCGATGCCCACGGCTTGTTCCTGCTGTGTCAGCCTGGGGGATTTACGTGGCCTGCCTTGATGGTCACGTTGCCATTCAGGGCATTCACGTGCTTGATCCATGCAGGATGGTGAATCCCCACTCCTGATGATCCGTGGCTGACGTGTCCCTCAGGCAGCTCATGGTGGTGGTGCTGCTGAGCTGCTGCCCCAGCACAGCCACGGTCTCAGCCTTTCACTGCCAGCCCTTGTGCGCCTCATTCTCCAACCTCTTTGCAGGGACCACCACCATGGATGTGGCAGCAACTCTGTCGCCGATTCTCTCTACCTCCCCGACACCTGTGGAGACCTCAGCACTGCTGCCCACCACTGACTCCACCACCACAGCCACCCTTCCTCCCTCCAGCTCTGAAACAGGAGCCTCCACCCTGGAGAGATCCAGCACATCCCTGGCGACTGGCAGTGCCTCACCTCCCACGGCACCAGCACCGACAGCCGCTTCGTCCGAGCCCTTGACCACCCTGGCAGACACCACAGCCACCCCTGTTATCAGCACGGGGGGCCCCAGGAGCACCCCTACTCCCAGCCAGTCATCTGAGACCACATCCAGGACCACCTCTGACACCTCTATCCCGACCATGGGGCCAACCTCAGGAACCCCAACAGTATCTGGGATCCCCAGTACATCCATGGGTGGGTGCAGCCGCGGGGTGCTGGGAAGGCAGGGGCATGGTCAGGGTGACGAATCCCTATGGGGATGCTGGGCATGTACTTGGGTGGCTTTATGTAGGTGGCTTCATTTAGGCTCAATCTGTCCCCAGCTGTAGGAGCACACTACGCCTCTCTGCAGACAGCTCTAACGTAATGTTGCTTTGCCCAGGCATGGAACCCTCTTCCCCTGCCATCGACTCAACCCAGACCCCAGAGGTTACCCTCAGGACCCCTGCAGACCTGCCAACAACGCTGCCCATCTGCCCCACCACCACATCCAACACCAGTAAGTGCAGTGCCCCATGGGCATTCCCACCACCCCAGCACCAGTAGCTTTGGGATTTCAGGGGCCAGTGCAGAGGGTCCTGGAGCCCCACTGCTTTTGCTGTGCTCCCACTATGGTGCCATTGATGCTCTGTGGGATGTGTGGTTTGCTGTACAGATGGAGGGTTGTTCTCCTGAAAGTATAAGGTGTCTATGACATGATTAACCTGGGAGGACATCCCGTGTCCGTGCCAGCTATCATGGGGAGAGACCCCCAGATCCTTTGTCACAGCCCAAGGTTCAGGGGCAGTAACCAGAGCCACGCTTTTTATCCCTAGGTGCGTCTCACCTCTTCCTGTCACTGCGGCTAACCTTCCCCCTGGACCTGGGGAACACCACGGTGCAGGAGCTGCTGTTGTCCAAGGTGAGGTGTGGCAGGAGGGGGTGACACTTTGCACCTGACATCTGTGGTTCAGCCAGCTGGGGAGGGGGTCTGGTAGCCAGTGGGAGGGGAATGGCTGGGTCTTGCACTGAATGTCGCCTGGAGCCCTGTCAGGTGAAGGGGAAACCCTCCTTTGGCTGCTGTGGTCCAGCATCAGGCCCCTCCTAGGTGGGAAGTGGGGATAGGAGACCCTCTCCGATGTGGTTTGACGGCTGTCCTCTCCCCCAGCTCCGCAGGGACCTGCAGACGGCGTTCCCCTGTGCCGGCCTGGCGGTGGGGTGGCGAGGGCAGAGGAAGACCTGACCACTTCTCCTCGCCTGGCCAGCACCCGTAGGGACTGGCAAACCTGCTCCCAGCTCCTTACTCTGTGGCGGTGCAGCCCTTTGGGGTAACCTGTACAGCTCCCATTGAACCTGGGACCCCCCTGTCCTTCAATGCGAACCCCCAAAGGACCCTCAGTGCTCCCCATGGACTGGGGTGCCCCTTCCCCTTCCCACAACCTGTCTCTATAGCCTAAGCCCTCCCACGATCCTGCACTAAACCTGGCTCCCACACTGGCACCCCCCCAGTGCTGTTGATGGTCTGAGGGGAGGGGACCCTGCAGGGACTGGGTCACAAAAGCCACCCTGGGGACTGATGGATGAAAGAAAGGAGACTTGAAGCCCCCAACGCTGCTGTGCCCAGGGCAATCAGGGTCTCCGTGCTGGTTTGCAACCCGGGGAGGCTGCAGTGCCTGAGGTCTTCAAGAGATGCTCCATGGCTGCTTCACATCCAGAGTGGGCCAAGATGGATCCTGGGGTGGCTCTGGGAAGGAGACAGGAGAGGAAAAGAGCCCCCTCTCCCACCTGAGCCACCTCCTGGGCCGAGCTCCTGAGCCCTGCAGCGCAGAGGGCGAGTGAAGCCAGAGCTCAGCACACGGGCTCTCCCCAGCTCTCCTGCGGTACTGCTGATGGAGGAGCACGTGTGTGCCAGGACGGGCTGGGCAGTAAAGGGAAATCCCCCATTTTCAGCAGCAAAGATGACTTTCTTTTTTTCTGAGTTGCCTCCCCTACTTTTCAGCTCTGCTATCAAACAGAGGTACCGGCAAGGAAAACTGGCTGAGTCCCAAAATCTTTGCAGCAGAGAGATGGGCTCAGGGCTGTCCCCTCCTGGCAGGGGCTGCTGCAGAGGTTCCTGAGGATGGCTTGGCACCCTGACAGGCTGGGGGTCCCCACTTTGGTACACTCTGTCCCCATGGCTGCCAGGGCAGCTGTGCCCAATGTGGAGCTGTGGAAATCCCGTGGGCTGTGCTCCTTCCCTGTTTTTTTCCAGTCCCCATCTAAGGAGACGGCCGCAGCGTCTGTCCCCCTGCAGCAAAGTCATTTATTAACTGATTAATTAGCCAGATAAAATCCAACCGAAGCAATTATTAGCCTAAAGAAGTCACCTCGCCGGGAGATTGAAAACTGAAATAATTAGCAAAATAGCTGTGTTGTTCGTCAGGGGTTATTTTCGGCTAATCCCTGCTCCTCGCTGGCAGCCTGCACCACCCTGGCACGGGGGGGGGCTGGGAGGGGGCACATGGGGCTGTGGGATGCCAAACCTGGGGGTGGCTCCCGGGTTCCCCGCATTATCACCCAGCTGGGAAGGAGCCAACAGCCGGACAGGACGGGGAAAGGCACCCTGGGATCACCCGGCTGCCTGCCAGCTCGCTGGGGCTGGGAGAGGCTGGGCTGAGGCTGGAGGCTGAGCCCAGGCAGCACGTCAGGATGCTCCCATTTGGGGTGCCCTTTGCATCCCAGGGTGGCCCCTTTGCTCTCTAGGATGCTGCCTGGCTTTTGGGGGCTTGCTGAAGCTGTTGGCACCAAGAGAGGTCCCTCAGCACCCAGGCAGGGAGCTGGGGAGCGGGGCAAAGCCTGCTGGTATGGGTCCCCACGCCGGATGCCTGGTGGGGTGCTGGGAAAGAAATCCTCATGCTCTGCCTACGCCGTGGAGCTGGGCCAAGAGTCCTCCCACGCTGCGTCCCACTGGGCTGCTTTCTCCGGCTGTTGAATCCATAACTTCAGACCCTGGGACATGGCTGGGAGCCAAGGCTGGGGTAATGGAGCCAAACTGCGTCACAAAGGGAGGAAAAGGTCCTGAAGTGCCGGGATGAAAAGGTGACCGGGGCACTCGCTGTCCCCCACCAGCATGGCTGCCTTCCACCGTTATCATGGTTAGGGGGTTGGTGGGGGAAGGAACTGCTCCGGTCCCTCTTCCCCCTGGCCTGGGAGGAAAAAGGGCACAGTGAGGGGACGTGGCTCCCGTGGGGATGGTGGGCGTTGCCTGGGCATTGGGGACACAGAGCTCTGACAAACTCCTGACACTGCCCATGCTCTCTGTGCCTGCCATCCTCGAGGATGCTGGCTGCCACCTTCACCCCACGGCTGCTTGCCTGCCACAGACCTCTGACCAGAGGGGCCCTGGTGGGTCAGATCTGGGTCCTTCTACTTTCCCAGCCCATAAATAATTTCTCAGCCTCTTTGCTGTAACTCTCCCCCACCTATCAGCATTGTCCAAAGGAGCAGACCCCGTGTTCAGCAGGACTGTCACCTTCTCAGGGCTCAACAGCATCACGGGGTAATGTGTCTCAAGTCCCTTGTGACTCAGGTGTCCCTTCCAGTGTCCCCCTCCCCTTCAACCCCGCCGGTGGCTACAGCCCAACTCACGCTGTTCAGCAGGAGGGTGTTGCAACATGCCCAGCTTGCCAAGTCATCCAGAACCTATGGGGTTGATGGATAACCTGGTTCCCCCCGCCACCACCCCTGAGTCCTCTCCAAATGCCCTTGCCAGGAGGCCAGAGCAATGCTGGTAGAAGATGTCTGGATCTCCACAGGGCTGGAACGACCAGCCCATTAATTCCAGGAAGGCTGATAAGGCACCGTGCTGGGCCATGCTGTGACATGCCAGATGGTGCAGAGCCCTTAAGCACTGAGATTCACACCATTTCACCCCTGCTGCAGGCTCCTGAGGGGCTCCGGTGCCCACACTTTGGTCCCTGATAATGATGGATGACACCCTTACAGCATGTGGCTCGTCAGGATCTTGGTTTCACATATAGCAGAAGAATCAATGAAAAGCCCCTTCCCAGAGCAGGAACAGGGCACCATCCTCGAGACAAGGGATGACCCACGGTGGCTGCAGGTTTTCCTGGGAGAGTGTGCCAATGCCAGAGCAGGGGGATGAGCTCAGTTTGTCACCCCCGTGACTCTGCTGGAGGAGCAGCAGGGAAACAGTGCTTTTTGGGGACAGCATGGGCAGGAGGCACAGCATGAGGGTCTCTGGATGGTGCTGGTCCCAGCACACCACAGGCAGGAGCTCGCAGGTGGGCTAAGGGTGAGGTGGGCTGGAAGCACCTTGCTTCAGCTGAGGTATTTTCGCCCATGCTGAGCAGCACGTTTGCAGCAATCCCTGTGGTTCCCACCATGTTTTGCACCTCAAACACCAGCTGGAGCAACTGTCTCCAGCGTCAGCACATATTCCCCGTCAGGGTGGCTTTCCAAAGCGATACGGCACTGTCAGCACAGGCAGGAACGACTCTCCCACGGTGGGTTTGCATCCCTCTAATCCTCCATCCGCCCAGGTGCGGTGGCCGCTGGGGTGGTCACCGGCTGGGCCGTCACCCCTTGATCTGCAGTGCTGGTTGTACGGGCCGCTGCCACACCGTCCCCTCACCCGCTGCCACACCGTCCCCTCACCCACTGCCACACCGTCCCCTCACCCGCTGCCACACCGTCCCCTCACCCGCTGCCACACCGTCCCCTCACCCGCTTCGCCCCCGCGCTGGCATTTTCAGTGGGCAGGCGTTCGTTCCGGGCGAGTGGGGCTCTCCCCTGATTTATCGTCTGTGCCCTGTTCCCGCTGCCAGGGGTAATGTGTGAGTTTACAGGATGGGGTTTTGTCAGCCGTGACTTGGCCTCTCCTGGCATTCCCCCCCCCCCCCCCCCCGTCAGTGTTTCCTGGCTGGTGGGTCGGGGTGTTGCTCGGCTTGTCCTGCTGCTGCCGCCTGTCCGCTGGAGGCCGGCTCGGGCAGGACACTGTGTACTGCCTAACACCCCTAATAACACTTTGCAGGAGTCGCCTGGGGGAATTTCTGTTTAAGAAGTGTTTAATTGATTACAAAACTATGGGGGGGGGGGGGGGGTGGTTGCATAATGCTGTCCATGGGGGAGCTGGCAGCAGTTTTCAACTGGAGGGAATGGGAACTGCTGTTGCAGCATAAGGGGGAAAGGGAGACATAGGGGTGAAGTGACCCAGGGGATCCTCGTATCAAAGGAGGGGGTCCAAGGCTGTACCTTTTCCTGCTCCAGCTTCTGGGGGTGCTGGGCCCACCTTGTAGAGGAGATTCCCATGTCCGTTCACCCTGGCACTGCTATGTCCATACTTATGTGCAGGTTTAAAACCCCACTGGGGCATGCTGGGGTTCTGGATGGGGATCCCCAGTGCTCCCAGTTGCAGCTGAGCACTGAGGGAGCTCGGCTAACACCCCAGGGTCTGCCCCCAGCCATACCTGCCCCTGTTTTATAACGTGCCTCTGCTCTCGAGGAAGCCTTGAGCCAGGTGAGGACTTGTGTCCTGCTTTGCCCTGGGCTGAGACATGGCTCAGATGCTCATTTTAGTGCCCACAGTATCCTCACGGGCATGGTGGCACCAGCTGGCATTGCCCTGTCACCACCACTGGCTGCTCTGTGGCCCCCTCCCCTGCATGGAGGTCCTGTGGGTCCGTGGGGTGGCCGCCACGGGGAGCAGGTCCCACAGGGACCATGAGGAGGCTGCTGTGGGTAGCAGGTCCTGTGGGGTCTGTGGGGTGGCTGCCACTTCACCGCTGGCAATGCCACGCTCTGCTCCAGGCTCAGCTTCACTAGTGGGTGCTGGTGGCCCAGGGTGCTGCACCAGACTGTGCCCAGGACCCTGGAGGGATGGGGTCCCTGCCTTTGGATTACCCCCAACCCATGCCCCAGCTGATCAGGACATCCAGCCCTTGGGAAGGGGGGGGGCTCAGCAGGAAAGGAATGGTGACAGGGGCACTGGAGGGAAAGCACCGGGGGCGGGAGGAAACGGCGGCTGCAACCTGCCTCCTTCTGCCATCCCTATAAATAGGAGGGAGCAGGAGCAGGATTGCACCTGTGGGACTCCAACTCTGCAGGAGAGGCAGGCAGGGAGGGAGGGAGGGACGGACAGACAGACGGAGCTGCTCCTCTCTGCTCTCACCTCCCTTTGAGCTTACCAGAGCTCTGCCTGCTGTGGAGGCCCGAGGCATGGGGACGAGGGGATGGACTCTTTCCACCTTTGTGGGATGCTGCGTATGGATTCTGCATGGTATGTCCCATATTTTTCTGCTAGCACGTGTGCTACCTGAGCCCTTGCAGGGCACAGCAAGTATGCTTGTGAGATGCTTTTCCCTCTTGGCTCCACTGGAAACTCCTTTTATGACCAGTCCTTGCATTGAATTGCAACCAAAGAGCTAGAAAAGTGTTTAGGGGTTCTAAGTATGGACTTTTGGAAGAGGTGAGACCCCAGACTGGGTGCCTGCACGCAGCTGTGTATCCCTCCAGCAAGGCTGCCAAGGGAAACCAGCCGGCAGAGTGGGGCTCCCGGGACGTTCCCATCCCTCCCACGTCCTGGGGCAGAGCAAAAGCCGGTGCCCCATGGTGGGACCCCTCTTGCACAAGCTTCCCATGAATGGGAGGTGTGGGGGTAGATGGCGTTTCCTGCTCCTCATGGAAGAATTAAGATAAAACATGGATTTACTGGGGTGGAGTGTGCCAAACTAACCTGGGGGGACTTGACTGATGCACTTTGTTTTCCCTGAGTTGGGGAGGGGAGTGGCTGAGCTCCTCTGGCTGAGGGATATTGATGCAAACAACTTATTTCAGCTGGGGAAGATGGTGAGGAGGAATGGGGGGCTGGAGGAAGATGGAGCCCTCGAGGACCGGTCTGGCATAAGAGATAATGTTCATTAATGACTCTGGCACAACTATCCGCAAGCTGAGCCCGGGGGTGAGGTTGGAGGCACCTCCGCTGTGGTGGGATCTGGCTGCCTGGCAGGGGGAACCTGATGAACCGGGAGCACCAGGATGGGGAACAGGCTTGGGCTGTTGGGTTGCGGAGAAACCCTGCTGGGGCTCACCCTCGGGGTGCCCTTCGTCTCCCCTAATTGCAGCTGCCTAAAGCCAGGTGTCAGCAGATCTGCCTGGCTCCTCCTGGAGCCAATGGCGGCAGCTTGGTCACCCCAGACACCTCCTGTCCTAAAAATAAGACTGGGTGAAACTTCATGGGTGCCAGTGGCTGCCGGGAGAAATACCTGGGATGTGGAGTGGTGTCTCCTTCTCCGTTCAGCAAAGCTTCTGGATGTGGGCCACGGTTTTGGCAGCAGGAGGAAGGAGCTGTAAGCAGGGCTTGGTCCTGAGAGCTCATGAATATTCCTTCCATGGGCAGGGAACCCTTGGTGCCTGCACCCAGCTGGGGCAGGCAGGCCGGGGGCAGGAGCAGCCAGGCTCCCACTGCAGGAGAGGTTTAACAAACCTGTTTTAACTGCAGCGGGGCAGAAGCCATTTGCAGTCAGGGAATGTTTCACTAAGCCCTGGCTATCCTATCTGCCAAAGGGCTTTGTGTAAAGTGTATTTAAATGTCCCTCAGACACCCAAAAGGTGAAAAAAATGCAAGAACCACCCCCCGCCCCCAAGGTCTGCAGAAGTGACTGTGCTCAGGGCTGTCCCTGCAGTGAGGCAAAGAGGACTGAGGGCTGTCCTTGGGTGGCAGAGCTCCACAGACACCCCTGGGGCTATGAACTAGACTTAGTGAGCCCCAGCTCTTCCCAGTGGCCAGGCAGTACCATCCCCAGTGTAACTGGGCTGGGTTGCAGTGGCTGCCTTTGCCTCCATGCTTGCACCAGCATCTCTCCCTGAATTATGATGAGTTGTGTCCTGTCTCAGCTGGAGGCTGCTGATGCTGGGTATGCAAAAGGTGCTGCTGTACCTAAGGCAGCCCAGGCTGTACTCCTTGGCTCTTAAATCAGAGCCTTGTAAGGCCACGGAATGAGGCAGTAGGGTTTAAGAAGGGGCGGAAGCTTCCTGATGTTCAGCTGGAGGAGACTTGCAGCTGAGCTTGGCGGGCTGCTGGCTTCAGTACCTGGTGTAATGATTCACTTTGTGCTTCTCCACAGGGCTCGGGGCTGCTGCTGCTGTCCCTGTCACTACCGAGGGGCCATTTGCTACAGGGACAGCTTCTCCCATCACAGCAGAGAGTGAGGGGCCCCGTGACGTGGTGATGGGCACTGTGGAGACAAGCACCACAGTAGCTGATGCTGAGAGAGCTGGGAGCAGCCTCACGGGGAGCCCATCGAGCACACCCTTCCCTCTCGGGGCTGAGCCAGACGTTTTGGTGACAGCGGTGAGCGAATACAGCTCTACAGTACCAACACTGACAAACGTGACCAAACCTCTTAACACGTCTCAGGATATTGAGAAGAGTTTGGCTGCTCCCACTGCAGCCACGGCTGCTGCCGCCATCTCCTCACAGCACCCAGCTGTCACACCAGAAACAGAACTTGATGTAACAGGGGCTGCTCCCGAAGCCCCCCTGGGGACCACCCCTCTCTTTGCAGATGTTAAGGAGGACATCCTTGCGGCCGTGACCAGAGAAGGAGCAGAAGACCTAGACCCCACCTCTGTCGCAGTGTCCCTCCCCACCACCCCTTCACTGGCAGCCTCCTGGGGGGCACAGCCAACTGCTGGCAGCCCCGTGGGTGCCAGTGTCACCATGCTGTTGAGCCAAGGGCTGACCACAGCCGTGGGAGCAGTTGAGGAAGGTGTAACCCTGCCTGGGGGTATTCAAAGCGAAGCCAGTGCCAACTCCTTGAGCCCCATCCCTGGTGCTGGGTGGCTGCTTACAACCCAGCAGGATGGAGTGGTGAGTGGGGCTGTGGACATCACCCCAGAGCCAGTGGGAGAAATGGCCCCAGCTGTCGAGGAAAGTCTCTCAGCTTCAGTTCCTGGAGATGCAGTAAATGATGATTTCAGCATAGCCAGCTCATCCCACCCAACAGTGTTGGGAACAGTGGGAAACCCAGGGGAGCCCTCCCTCCTGCCTGGCCAGGCAGTGCTGAGCCCGACTGCCTCAGTGGCAGCGGCCAGTGGTGGGGACAAGGAAGGGCAGGGAGCTCCCGGGGTGTCCTCAGAGGGTCCTGGATCAGCCCTGTCACCCGCTGCTAACGAGGTGCCTGAGGTGACAGGGGACACAGCCGCATCACTGCTGGCTCCAAGTGTTCCCACTGATGCACAGAGTGACATGAATCGCCCAGTCCCGGCCACTGCGCTGCCCACAGGGGATGTGGGTCTGACCAAACTACCCCTGCATCCTGTCCCATGGCAGAACCCCACCGGAGAACACCCACCACTGCTTTCTGCTGCTCTGCCATCCCTCACGGACATCCCCGGCACTCCTGGGGCTGCTTACCCACCCCTGGGGGATGGAACCAGCACTCTGTCTGCAGCTGATGATAAGGAAGAGACACTAGTGAGTCCAGACCTCAGTGCTGCCCAGGGAGCACCTGTGTCTCCATCCTTCGGGGGGTCACAGCCATGGGGGACAGCAGCCAGTGCTCCCCAGGGAGCCGATGGACCTGGCACTAGCTTGAGTTCAGCTTCAGATGCCCCCAAACCAGGATCTTCTGTACCAGGATCTGATGGACTGGCATGGCCCACTGGGGTCCAGGATCCAGGGGCTGAGGGTGCAGAGGACACGGCACAGGCAGGAGGTCCAGGGGATGGCAGTTCCTATGCAGGTACCCAGAGTGACACGAGTCCTTCAGCTGTCAGCACTCAGCAGGGTCCCACTAACACCGGAGAGCTGCCGGCTGGAGGAACAGGAGATTTGGTGGATGCTGAACTGTCCCCTCCATCAGCTCTTGGGGATGGAGCAGGAGCAACGTCGGCACTGGGACAAGTGTCCCCACTTGGTCCCGCACCTCCCAGCAGTGCTGGGCTGCAGCCCGACCTTTCAGGGGCTGAAGGACCAGGAGACCTGCCCGGTGAATTCCCCAGTGCTTCTGGGGCTGCTTACCCACCCCCAGGGGCTGCGGCTGGCCCCGTGTCTGGGGCAGAGACACCAGTGAGCGCAGACCTAGGTGCTGCCCAGGGAGCACCCGTGTCTCCATCCTTCGGGGAGTCACAGCCATGGGGGACGGCAGCTGGTGCTCCCCAGGGAGCAGGTCTCCCTGGAGCCAACGGAGCAGGTACTGACTTGACTTCGGCAGGGGATGTCCCCAGCTCAGCGGTGTATGGACCAGCAGGATCCCCATCATCTGCCCTCGAGGACCAGCTTGGCACAAACCTGGGGCTGCCGGCAGCAGAGGGACACGGAGGCGGCGCGGCAGAGTCGGTGCTGGGAGGAGCAGGCAGTGGGACTGGGTTTGAGCCATCACTGGTCTCTGCTGCAGGCAGTGGGACGGCGGCTGAGGTGGACCAAGTGCCTGGTGCAGGTTCCTCATCTGGTCCTGCCTCTCCCAGTGATGTGGTGGCAGCATCCTCTGTTTCAGAGGGTGATGGAGCAGGACCCATCCCAGATGCAGCCCCTGGCCCTGACAACCTGTCCCCATCCTCTCCAGACAGTGAAACTGGCCCAGAGCTCTCTCTGGTGCAGGGGCCTGAGACCACAGGGGATGTGGCACAGGCAGGAAATTCAGAGGGTGAAAGTCCCTACATGGAGAAAATTCCTTCAGCCGTCAGCACTCAGCAGGGTCCCACTAACACCGGAGAGCTGCCGGCTGGAGGAACAGGAGATTTGGTGGATGCTGAACTGTCCCCTCCATCAGCTCTTGGGGATGGAACAGGAGCAACGTCGGCACTGGGACAAGTGTCCCCACTTGGTCCTGCACCTCCCAGCAGTGCTGGGCTGCAGCCCGACCTTTCAGGGGCTGAAGGACCAGGAGACCTGCCCGGTGAATTCCCCAGTGCTTCTGGGGCTGCTTACCCACCCCCAGGGGCTGCGGCTGGCCCCGTGTCTGGGGCAGAGACACCAGTGAGCCCAGACCTAGGTGCTGCCCAGGGAGCACCCGTGTCTCCATCCTTCGGGGAGTCACAGCCATGGGGGACGGCAGCTGGTGCTCCCCAGGGAGCAGGTCTCCCTGGAGCCAACGGAGCAGGTACTGACTTGACTTCAGCAGGGGATGTCCCCAGCTCAGCGGTGTATGGACCAGCAGGATCCCCATCGTCTGCCCTCGAGGACCAGCTTGGCACAAACCTGGGGCTGCCGGCAGCAGAGGGACACGGAGGCGGCGCAGCAGAGTCGGTGCTGGGAGGAGCAGGCAGTGGGACTGGGTTTGAGCCATCGCTGGTCTCTGCTGCAGGCAGTGGGACGGCGGCTGAGGTGGACCAAGTGCCTGGTGCAGGTTCCTCATCTGGTCCTGCCTCTCCCAGTGATGTGGTGGCAGCATCCTCTGTTTCAGGTCCAGGCAGCCAGAATGCCCTCGGAGGGGCAGATGGTGCTCTTGGAGCTCTGCAGCCTTCCCTGGGTGCTGGGCCTGGAGCCCCTCCTGCTGCAGAAGGGGCAGGTGAAACGGCTGGTGACGGAGGGTCCCTGGGGCAGTCCCAGGCCCCTGCTGGAGAGGGATCAGCTGGTTCAGGAGCCCCTGACAAAGAAATGGGAGCCGTGCTGCAGTCTGCGTCTTCTTCCCCATCTACAGAGGGGTCTTCATCAGCTGGGACAGCTGGTGAGGCTGCTAATGGAGCGAGCCTTCCTGGAGCTGGTGGAGCTGGCAGTGGCTTGAGCACAGGCTCGGAGGCTGCTGGCCCTGAGGAACCCCCTATGTCTGCCCCCGGCATCCAGAGTGGTGCCAATCTTGGACTTTCTGATGCAAAACTGAGCCAAGTCAATGTGGTGGAGGCGCCTGGAAGAGCCTCAGTGAACGGGGAGCCTTCCCCTGGTGCCAGCCTGGGAGAGGGCACAGGAGCCATCACACAGACTGCATCGGGAGCGCTGGCCCCGTCCACCCTCACCTCTCCCCAGGAGATGCAGTCCTCAGTCCCGGTGGCTCCAAATGGCAGTGGCATCTCTGACAGCATGTCCACCTCACTGACAGCTTCTCTGCTTCTTCCTGGGCATGAGCTGAACTCAGGGCTGACACCCAACGGGGACCCCCGCTCTACCCCCGGCACCCAGAGTGAGAGCAGACCCCTGGTGCCAGGGGCACTGGGTGGGCTGGCAGGAGATGCTGGAGGCGGTCAGACATGGTCTCTTGAAGATGAGGTGGCCTCAGGGATGCTGGCACCTTCGGGAGAAGTGTCCCCCCATGCCCTCACATCCCCCAATACCGTCCCGGCACTGCTTTCTGCTCCACAGAGAGAAACTGCTGCGGAGGGGGTGTCCACCAGCCCCGGGCTTGCTGCTCCCCTTTCAGCACGTGAGTCGTTAGTGGGGTCCTCTGCAGGGGGAAGGGAAGATCTGGGGGCTGCCACGTCACGGGGGGCTGCCCTGCTCCTGCCTCCCCCCCAGGTGGGAAGCCCCAGAGCCCCCTCCAGGGATGCTGACAGCCCTGTGCCTGGGGAAGCAAGTGCCGTGCTCCCCGGAGCGATGGCAGGGCGCGGGGACACGGCTGTGCTCCTTCCCAGTGCTACTGGATCTGGGGCAGGCGTGGAGACCCCCACTCACTCCCCACTGGTGGGGAGCCCAGGGTTCCTTGGCCTTCCTCCTGCCGGGATCGCTGCTGGTAGCCCCGGATCAAAAACCCTGAGGCCAGGACCTGCTGGTGGCTTGTCATCTACTGCCCAGCAACCATTACTGGGCGGTGAGCTGACCACAAGCCGGGCAAATGGAGCCCCTGTTGCCAGTGGGTTGAGCCTCCCCGCAGCCTTCCCAGGCCAGGGGGGAACCCGGGGGGGGTCCCCAGCTACCGCACGCCCAACCATATCCTGCAGCCCAGCCACCGCCAGCCGGGCCCCACCAGCCCCCCTCCCCAGGGGCAGGGAGTTGCTCCCCAGGCCAGGAGCAGCCACTGTCACCTCCCACGCATCGTCCTCCGTGTTTCCAGCTCTGCCAGGAGGGCCGGCAGCCACCCCGACCCCGCTGCCTGTCCCCACAGGTACGTGATGCTCATGGGGCAGCCTGGGCGGGAGGAGCGCATCTGGCCTCCTCTTGACAGACCCTCCTGGGGGACATTTGGTGACAGGAGACCAAGGGGGTTATCTGGGGCCAGGACCTCTGGGGGAGACACACCATGAGGAGCTCCTGCACATGAGCTTGCATTTTTGTCAGGCTGAGCCTGCCTTCAAGTATGGTCCCATCAGCTGGAAACCCCATCCTCCCCAAATGCTTTGTTTTATTTAACAGATGTAAATAGGGAGCTGGAGGCTGTAAACATCTCTAGAAAAAGTTGTGGCTGTTTAATTCCCTGCCGTCCCCCTACCACAGTCCCATACAATGTTTTTCCCCTCTGATGGCAGTCCCTCAGTGTGGTGCCCCAATGGGGCAGGAGCAGGAGGGGACAGTGACCACAAAGGCCATCACAGTGGGTTTAGGGCAGTTGTGTACGTATGAGGCATTGAAAGGGGTAGGAGCAAGCTCCTACAAGGGAAGGTGACATGCAGCATGTCCCGGGCGGCTATTGGCAGTGTCCCCCCATCCTCCAGCTGCTCAGGATGTGTCTCTTTGGAAGCAAAATCATTTCAGCCCTTTGAGCTTTTTGCACAGAACAAAGACTTTGCTCTAAGTGTGTTTTGGGAGTTGTTTTTTTTTTGTGTTTTCTTTTCCAGTTGCAGCTGTGCCCCTCTATGGATATGGAACAAGGGAAAATGATTGGGAGTATGTGGAAAGAAAGGTGGATTTTAATTCTCCGCTTTTCAAGCCAGAGACTGGATTCCCGTTTGGGAAAAAACTGCACAACTCTCTCTACGTGAGTCTACCTTGGCTTGACTTGCTGTTGGGCAAGCAACCATCTCCCAAAAACCTGGGGGAGGTACCAGGGGCCAGATTCCTGGGATGGGACCCTCGAGAGGATGAATTGGTTGGGGTGTTGCCAGGATCTGTTTGCAGCAGGAGGTGACTTTGTGGTCATTTCAGTGGTGGCCAGTGGTGGCCTTCCTCACAGTGGTGTTGCTCAAAGGGGTCTTGGAAATGAGAGGGCTGCCGCTCCTGTGTTGGGGGGAACCCAGCGGTCCTGTCCTCGCCTGATGGAGGGATCCCTCTGCTCAGTTTACAGACAACGGACAAATCATTTTCCCAGCCTCAGACAACAGCATCTTCACGTACCCCAACCCTCCTCCCAGCGGCTTCAACGGTCACGAGGAGGTTCCCATGATTGCTGTGTTTTGGGACAACGCTGACTTTTCCAAAGGCGTCGGGACCACCTTTTACCAGGTGGGTGAAGCTATCCGGGTGCATAGTTACATGAAACACCTTTTGATGCTAAATTCATCATCTATTCTGTGGATGTCCCTTGAGATGTGTAATCGATGAAGTTCATGAGCGATGTTTCCCTTTTCTGGGCCAAGTCTAAGAGCTGTTGGTCCTGTATGTGTCATCTCCTGAGTCACCCAAACCATCCAGACCCTTAGTTGGAGTACTCTATGCATGGCTCTAGTCTAGACCTGTCTTTGCCCTACTGGGAGCTAACGCAGATGTGGCTGTACCCAACCCACAGGAGTTCCTCACCCTTAACACGGCCAAGCCTCCATTTGTCCGTGATGTGGAAGCGAAGATTCGGCGGTATCTGAGGTCCTCCTACTCCGCTGCCTGGACCCTGAAGATCACCTGGGAGAAGGCACCTGCCTACACAGCATGGACCGACACCCGGAGGGTAAGGGGCTGATGGAGCTCAAGGGGCTGTTGCATTGTCAAAAAATCCCCAAGACCCATGGGTGATCACCTTGTCTGTGTCTGAAAATAAGAATCAGTTTTGTGAAAAAGGTCAATCTTGAAGACTTTTGCCAAAAAGAACTGGGCTGTGTTTGTGTTTTGGTGGTTTTCAGGTCTTTTTGGGGACATCTTTAGTTGAACCCTCCCTGCTCTGTAAAATCTTTCTCTTTAATGTGGTGGGAGTTTATTGTGCACCAGAAACACTGTTCTTCAGGAGCATAAATTTGGGTGAATTTGAGGCTTCTCATGGAACAGCACTGAAACAAAACCATCACATTTTCCATGCAAATTGTGAACTAGCCCAGGCTGCATTCGCCTTGTACATCAGGACCTCAGCCCTGCTGTCCCACAGCGAGCACTGACCCACATCCCTAATTTAAACCCACCAGCTTTCCTCAGTTTCTTACCCGTCTGCAACCCTTCTCCCCAGACGATCACATACCAGGCAGTCCTGACCACTGATGGCTTCAGGTCCTACGTCTTGATGCTGTACCAGGAGGGAGGCATGCAATGGGATTACACCAGGCTTGCTGCCACCAACGCGCTCATCGGCTACACCAGGTAGAGCAGGCTCAGCACCCAGCCCCTGCCTCCTCTGAGCACCGGGCTGCATCCCACCCCCAGCTCTGCCTGGTTTCATCCTTCCCCCTGTGTCCCATGAAGTGCCCTGCAAGGATGAGGGCAGCCTGGCTGGCATCTTCATGCCCATATAGTCTAACATCTGGGAGCCTCACAACCAAATTTACCCTGTTAGTGGCTGGGTCGTGCTGCAGCGTGCTGACGTGCCAGGCTGTGCTTGTTGTAAGATCCACACATCCCTCCGGGGTCCTGGGCCTGCATCATCCGGGTGGTTTGGGTGGAAAGAGTGGGGAATAAGGAATGTTTGCTGAACTTTGCACCAGTTGAGGGAAGGGATTTCCGCCACTTGGCCGGAGTGGTTGCTTCCTGCCTCCTCACATTACGCCTCACCCTGTATTTGCTCATTAGCTGCTTGCTGCAGCTGGGTAAGGAAAAGGTGGCCGGGATGGGAAGCGCGGGCGGCACAGGCGTGTGTGTACGTGCTTGCCTGTGCATAACTGCTCGTGGGTTTCCACTCTGTATCACCCTGCAAGATGCTGGAAAACATGGAAGCTACTCACAGGGGTCCTGAGATGTCCTCAGGCTCAGACCATGATGCAGCAGGAGCGTTTGCAGCACCTAAAAGTAACTGCACCCTGTGGAGAGGAGGCAGTGGGCTGGGGGAGCTGGTGCCTTTGCCCTCATGTCCCCAGAGCTGCGATTTGGGTGCTGTGGGATCCTGCTGGCTCAGGATCAGGGTGGCTGTAGGTCAGGCTGGGGCTGGGATAACCCCAGCCAGGAAGAGCAACTCCTGATTTTCCCCCTTTTTTCTGCACGCAGTGGGGATGGCTTTTACCGCAACGATGACCTGACTCGGAGACCTCCAGCTGCTAAATATCGCCCTGACCAGTTCAGGGGCTACAACACAGGTAGTGCCACACAGCTGGGGTGGGATCACACAGCCCCTTGGGGGTCGGAGAAAGGCTGTGTGAAGAGGGGAACGTTCCCAGAAGATGGAATCCAGCCTTCCGCTGAGTTCACCCAGGCTAGGCTTACCCCCTATGCACATAAAATGCTTCCCCTGGGTACCAGCTATGCCTTGAGGTGAAAATGTCCTTGATGTGTCCATAGACTCTTTTTGTTGCAATGGGTCTGTCCCAAGGCTTTCTTCTTTGGCAAGAGCCTCTCCCTCTGTTCCCCTGCCATTGGGTGGCTGTTACGCATTGGATCTCGTTGGTGGGGGTCAACGTGGGCTTAGCTTCCAGCACCAGCATCACTCGGCTCTTGTCTCGAGCCAAAACTGCCCCTGCAGTCCCCTTGGCTGTAGGTGACAGCTCGCGATTTCTCTCCCTGCTCAGACCTCCGTGGGCTGTGGATTTACAAGCTGGAGAGCCGCGTGGGTGTCAACTACCGGCTGAAGTGCCTGGCGTGGACGGGGCGGCAGCAGGAGCCGCAGGCGTGGAGCCGGGGCCTGCCCGCCTGCCCCTGCTCCCTGCAGCAAGGGCAGCAGGACCCACGATTCAAGAGCAGCCGGGGAGGCAAGTAGACACGTCGCTTCCCCACCCTCCTTGTCCCCGACCTGCCCCTCCTCACCTCCCCTGCAAGGGCGGCTGGGGTCCCTTCTGGCCAGGTGGGCAGGCAACCCCAAGAAAAATGAGGGGGGGGGCTGCCCTTCCCTGCAGAGACAGGGAAAACGGTGAGGAATGAGGGCTGACCTGTCTCTGTCTTGTTAGACTGGCTGGAGCTGGTCTAAGCTGCACGAGGACAGCGGGGATGGACCCTCCTCAATAGAAGGGTCTCACTCTGGGGTGTTCTTCGCTAGTCCCTCCAAACCCCCATAGCACCGTGGGTGATGCGGTGGGAGTGATGGATACCAGGGAGCCAGCCCGGGCCCCTCTCCTCGCCCTGAGGCAGGGTCTGGGGCCGGGGAGAGCAGGGCTGGGGTTCACTGCTGCCCGGTTGCAGGCTGGTGGGCTGCCCGTGTCTCCATGCTGCACTCGGCCTCCCCCAACCAGCACGGTGCCGGCGTCCGCTGCCTGTACGACGGCCAGAGCCAGCTCATCGAGGGGCGGCAGGAGAGGTACTGGAGGTCCTCCAGGCAGGCGTCCCCGTACCGTGGTAAGCACAGCCAGTCCTGGCATCTCCTGGCCGAGGCTGGCACCGCCGTAGCCTGTAAATCGTTTTAATCTCCACGCCAACCTGTTTCCTGACATGCTGTTGCCCTCAGAGGGAGAGTGGAGCTGCCAAAAGCCGAGGCAAGCGCCCTGCCTGCCTGGGGCCAGCCTGTCTCCCTCTCCTCTCCCCTTCAGCCCCTTACTCTCCCTTTTGCCTCCAGACCAGGAGCTGAAGTTGTACGACTGGTGCTGTAACCAGGCGGGCAGCGCCCGCCTCTGCGCCCGCTACAACGAGAAGAGACCCAAGATTGGCTGTGATGGATACCAGTCACCCGGCACGGGTGGGTTTGCAGCCTTGTGTGCTGGGGCGATGTCATCTCGGTGCCCGGGGAGTTTGGGGGAATAGCCCAGCCACCCCATGGTTAAGGCAGCAAGAGCCCTGGGCAGACGAGGGATAGGTTTTGGGGTGCCCATGTGTAGGTTGTGCTGTGCCCTGGGCTGTGTGCGGTTGTGGGGAGCATCTCCCTTAGCACATAATCACCGGTATAGTCTGGAGGTGACAGCACTGGGAGGGGAGAAGGACCGCAGCTAACGTGGTTATCAGTGTAAGCTGATGTGGGGCTTTCTTGCAGGCTCCTCGGAGGAGGCAGAGAGTGACTCAGAGGAGCAGAGAGGTGAGCAGGATCGGGGGTCTCCTCTCCACTGGCCAGTTTTCTCTGTCCTTGTTGCCCTGTGTAGAAACTCCTCTGGGGCTCCCAGATGGCCCCAGGCTCCCAGGGAGGAGGTGACTGAGCAATTCTCATTTCTTCTTTTTTTGCAGATGAAGAGGACAAGTAACTGGGGAGTTGCACACCTGCAGCACAGTCTGGGCCATGGTTGATCCTCCAAGTCCTTTGCTCCTGCTCATACCCTGTCACCCCCTGCTCCCCACAGCACCCATCACCCCTGCCCACCACGTAGGGCAGCTCACTCGGCCAGTGCCTGCAGTTGCCTTCACTGGCACAAATTCATGTTTCTAACTCAGACTTGTCCCAAGGAGCCAGTTGCTTTAGTTGCTCTTCCCCAGATGCAGCTGAGCGGGTGACCGTGGGCATCTCCTTGCTGGTGGGGAGGTGGGCAGGTACCCCCCACATGTCCACCACCCCCATCCTCCCTGCACCACTCTGCACCTCTCACAATGCGGGGTGAGGGTGACCCCCTCGGAACTTGGGGAATGGGGTTTTTGCACCTTGTGTGGGTTGACTGTGACCAAGCCCCCGAGTGCTGCAGTGCGCCAGGCTTGCCCTGTGAGCTGGTCCTGTCTTGTCCCCCACTTCTGTCCCCCAGCCACCCCTCCCCAGGCCCTGTGCCCACGAGCAGGGGTGATTCTGTGGATCAAACCAGAGTCTGCTTGATGTATCTGCTGGGTGTGTGAAGGCAAAAATCAACCCCATGATCAGAAACGTTGGGAGAATAATATTTTTTTTTATGCATAAGAGAGCATCCACTTTTCTTAAAGAAAAAAAATAATAATAAATCCTTGTAAAATCTTGTCTGTTCAATAAAGCCTCCAAGGGGTCTGAGCATCACTGGTCCTGTGACAGCCATGTCCTCTGCTGAACAGGGGTGGGAGGCAGGGGTGGGAGCAGGCTGGGGACGGTGGCATTGCAGGATGCTGCTGCCCCCTGAGCTGGTGCTGGGGATGCAAGCGTCTGGGCTGTGGCTGAGCCAGGCTCTGGGGCAGCAGGGCTGGAGCTGCGGGCTGCCGGGGGCTGTCGCACCCTCCTTGGGCTCAGCATCTTCCCTCAGCAGGGACAAAGCTGCGGGGTGTTTGAGGGGTCCACAGCCTGCCCTGTATGATCTGAGCTGCTGTGAGGGGTGCCCAGGGAGAGCAGTGAGGGAGACTTGAGGCTTTGTAGGGCAAATGAGGGGATGCAGCAACAAAAAAAGCTACACCCATCTTCTCTTTGGCCCTGTGGGTAGGACCAGCAGAAATCAGGGACTGGAGAGCTTGGCGACAGGGGTGCAGGGCTGGCGCATGGGCACCATGGGGTGCAGGAAACTTGCTCAGCAGCATGCTGTAATTTTTGGTTTATTCTATTTTGTTCCTAATGGGTTATAATCGCTGCATTGCCCCACCCGACTCTGCTATCAGCGGCTCGGTGGGGTCCAGTTACATTGCACTAGGACATTGCAGCCTGGTGCAGACACACTCAAGGACTATCCCGTTTGTCCCTGCAGGTCCTCAGGGGAAGGTGAAATCCTCTTGCTTTGGCCACCCAACATAAGCCCCCATTTTTCATTCAAAAAAATGCACCTCCTCCAGAGTGAATCCTCCCACAAAGACCAGACCCCAAAAGGCAGCTGCCCGTCCTGTGCCTCCATGCAGGTGCCGTTCCCGGGGCCGGCCGCAGCGGCTGGCTCCTCCGCAAGCCCGGAGGTGCCGGGGCAGGACCGGTGCCAGGCTAGGGCTGCTGGGGGGGCTGGCTCGGAGGCCTGACGTGGGGTCTCTGGATCCTTATCTGTAAAGGAGGGACAGACCATGCTGTGCTGTCAGCGCTGCACGGGCTCTGCTCTTTGCTGCACGCTCAGGCAACGGTGCAGGCCCCAAGAGCAGCCAAAGCATCCTTGATGCTCCAGGATGAGGCACGGCTCCTGACCATCTTTGAGCCACAGAATCAGGGACATTGGTCCCCAGTCCATGGCCCTCCCACCCTGACCTCTCCATGGGGACAATAACTGCTGGGCAGACCTGGACTGAGGGGTCGATGGCTTGGAGATGTGGTTTCCAGTGCCTTTCTGGGGAGTGGGTGGGCTCTGCTTGCTCTCCTTCCATCATCAGAGCTGGAGTGGGGGAAGATGAACAGAGCTTGAAGATGACTGGGGTGAAGCAGAGTTGGGATGGGCATGGGTTTTGCAGGGATGTACTCACAGGAGAAGGACCGTGGCCTCCAGAAGGTCTCCTTGGCCCTGGGAGGGAGGGAGCAGAAAGGAGGGATAACAAATAAGGGGGGGCTGGGAGACCCCCAGCCTGGTCCTGGTGCCTGGGTTGGAGGGCAGAGGGGAGCGGTGACTGAACGTAGGGGCGAGATGTGGAGGAGGAAAAGCCCCAGTTGTGCACACACAATTTCTCGCCTTTCCACAAGTGCAAATGAAAAGGTGCTTCCCAGAGAGCCCTGGCTCCAGGGCTGGCAGGGAGCTGAAGGCAGGGGCAGGGCGCAGCTCTGACCAGCACAGGAGGCTTGGGGCTCTCAACTTCCCCTGAGCATGGGTGCCATGCTGACACCAAGGGCTGGGGAGGAGGGAAGGAGATGATGGTGCTTCCACCCCAGCCTTGCACCTTGTCAACCATCTGCTAACTCCCTGCTCTTCAAATGAGCAAGGTCCAATCCTGCAACCCCCTTTTTCTTGTTCCAGACCAACTCTTTCCAGACCAACATGGGTTGCGGTGGAAATTATCTGGATGGTATTCAAATTAAAATTACATAGAAAGACCGTCTGTAACCAAGAATTGGGTGGGATGAGGAAGAAATGCAAATATTCCCTGACATGAGGGAAAAAGGGAAGCTAAAGTTCATCCCACTGATATTATTGCACCCCTGAGCAGCAGATGACTGGGAAAGGGGCTGGAAGATGTTCAAAGATCACCCAGCCCAGCCCCTTCCCCAGGGCAGACTCCCCCTGCCTGGGCCAGATGGGTCCCACCAGTGATGGATCTTCGAGAGATGGATTTTTCTACCAGTTTTCCTTCCTGACACCCAACCTCCTTCCCTGCTGCACCCACAGCACCCACCCCTGTGTGGGTCCAGCCCGTGGCTCACCCCCGGTGCCGGCGGCAGAGGCGCAAGGCCAGGCAGGCGACGGTGAGCAGGAGGCAGAGCAGAACCAGGGCTCCCAGCAAGATGCCAAGGAAGGCGGCGAGGCTGACGGCCAGCCACTCGCACCGGGCGCCGGCAGGGGAGAAGATGGAGAAGGGGAGGCAGCTGTGGATGGGGAGGGAGGAGTGGTGATGCCGTGGGGAGAAGTAGCCGTGCTGGGTGGCCTCGTCCTCCTCCAGCATCACTGCTACCTGCACGTGGGCCCCTCGGGTAGGTGTTGGCACTGGCCGCCGTGCTGGCAGTAGCCCTGCTTGCAAGGGGAGGTGCAGATGAAGCCGATGGTCCCCACGTAGTGGAGCCGGTAGCCTTTGTAGCCGTACGAACCACAGGGAAAATAACGCCTCAGCTCAGCCACTGTCACTGGGGAGGGAAGGCATGGCTTTGGCCATGCAGCACCGTCACCCCGTCATGCTTCCCCAGGTCTCCGTGAGCTGGACCCATGTCTGGGGTGGGGATTGCCACCCACCCGCCTCCCCCCGTGGGTGTTACCCAAACCCCAGGGCAACAAGGGTGACGGGGACAATGGGGACAGCGGGGTGCTCCTCCCAGGCTCCCCAGCTTGGCGCCGGGAGCAACTCACGCTTCACCAGGTCCGTGATGTTGTCCCGGTGCAGGCGCTGGAAGCGGAGGTGCGCATCTGCCTCCCGCCGCCCCCGCCGCCCGTTGAAGGCGCCCGTGATGGCCCCCGGCAGCTCCTCGTTCAGGAAACGGATGACGGTGCCGCGGCTGTCATAGGCAAACTTGGACACCACTTCGAAGGTGAAGCCATCACCGTCTGTCCTGCAGGGAAAAGACAGAGCTGCTGGTGGAGCCGCCGTTGCATCCCAGAGTGACCAAACCTCACCGTGCCTCAGTTTCCCCATGCGGGGGGTGGTAAAGAAAAGATGAGGCAGGAGATGGAAGGTACCATGGGGCTTGTGTCTCCAAGAGCTTATCAGCATCAGGGCTGGAAAAACAGACTCTGGGGTGAGGGAAAATGCCCTTTGTGTCCCAAAACCTGTGACCCCACGCCCAGCCCTGCCCCGCCAGTCCCGTGGGGTGGGCACGGGACTGATCCACAGCCGACTCACGTCTGGGTGATGTTGGTGTTGCACTGGAAAGCCTTTACCTCCAGGGAACCCAGGATGGCTGAGACCTGTGGCAGGGGGAGCGGGAGGGCGTTAGGGGAGGGGAGGATGGCACCAGTGCAGGGAGAGGCTGGAGGCCAACGTGGGCACTGTGGCCGAGCCCCAAGGGCCTTTTGTTCACGTGCCGGGGACCTGGCACATGGCCACGGCCACAGCCAGCACCACGCAGCTGGTGCTTCCTCCCTCCAGCCCTGTGGATCCTCTGGATCCTCGGGGATCCCTCAGGAGGGGGGGGACATAGGCACCCCAAGCTGCCATGCTGCCGGGTGTGCCGGTGCGTCCCCCTCCCCGAGCCCATCCCCTCCAGCCACGTACGGTGCTGTTGACTTCCTCGGCAGTGGCGTTTTGCAGTGTCCTGACTCGCAGCTGGACACTTCTCCGGGGGAGATCTGCTGGGGGGGAAGCAGCAGTGGTGGCTCTGGCATCCCAGGATCGGGGTGAGCAGGGTTGGGCTTCACCCTCCACTGCACACAGGCACCCACCTGTGCTGGGCAGCGGCCGAAAATCCCCCCCCGCCACCAGGCAGCGTTGGTCAGTGAAAGCCGGGGGGCAGGCGCAGGTGGGGGTGCAGGTGATGGGGTGCAGGCGGCAGCGTCCCCCGTTGTTGCAGTAGCCCTCGGGGCAGGAGCGGGAGCCACAGGGTGAGCCACAGCCTGGCCCCTCGCCTGTGGGACAGGGAGCCCAGGTCAGGCCAAGGCACAAACCTGGCTGCAGGGGCATAGCCCCAGCGCCCTGATCCATCCTCAGCTGCTCTGTAATGCCTTTCTTCCAAGTTTGGGGGGGTTTTGTTTATGTGTTAGGACTTTTAGTATAAATTTGGATCTTCAAGGAAAAGCTCTGCACCTCCTCCTCCCACCTGGAGCCTTTTGCCCTTGTGAAATCCCAGCCTGCTGCGTTAGAACAGGAGCAAAAACCACCACCCCACCCCCACCACGGCCATCTGAAAACGGGATTTGATTTTAGCCCCCCCAGCCCCTGCACATGCACTTGAACTTTGATGAGATGACATTATTTTTGTTCTCAAAGAGAAAAACTGCGCGTGAAAAGTTGCCCTTCCCGGCGTATTAGTGAGATCTGCAGCCTGGGAGCATGAAGGGACGCTGGACTCTGGTCCCTTCTGCAAGGGCTTGGGTGCAGAGCTCAGCCAGCTCCCCCTCCTCTCCTCTCCAGCCGGTTTGGGTCCCATGGGAGCCCTCTTCCACTAAGGCCCAGGGGGTGACAGGGATGAGGACCATGCCCATCAGGTACTCACTCTCCTCGCCAGCCGGGCAGGAGCAGGCGTAGCTGCCCACCACGTTGGTGCAGGTGGTGTTCCCCGGGCACGCCGTCCCCTGCGCGCACTCATCGATATCTGCTGAGGCAACACAGCGTGGCACCAGGAGAAATACCTCGGCCGGGGTCCCCGCGGGCGCCCCGGGGTTCCTGGTGGCGAGCCCTTGTCACCTGAGCAGTGCCGCCCGTCGCCGGTCAGGCCGGCCGGGCAGGAGCCGCAGCCGGTGTGCGAGTCGCAGCCCACGCCGGGGAAGCATCCCTGGGCGCAGGGGTCCGGGGGGTCCTGGCAGAAGGGACCCGAGTAGCCTCCTTCGCACCTGCAGGCTGCCAGCTAGGGAGGGGACAGTGACACTGGCTTAGGGGACACGAAGAGGACGTGTGGACAGAGATGACAGCCAGCGTGGCTGGCGTGGTGACCCGCACGGTGTGGCACCGGAGGAGCTTTCCAGCACACTAACCTGCAGGGAGGACCCCCCGAGGGTGACGGTGTTGCCGTAGTCGCACTCCTGGCTCTTGCTGCAGCTGCAAAGGGTGAAGCGGAGCTGGAGAAGGGCGGAGAGGTTGTTGGACCCAACAGCCTCCAGGTTGATGGTGAGCGGGGCCGTGCTGTGGGGCTCCCACGTCAGCGTTCCGCTCTCTGCCGGGAGGAGAGGTGGGAGTTAGAGGAGGTGGCAGACAAAAGGGGCTGGGTGACCAGTGTCCCCGGATACCATCCCAGTTGCACCATTTCTCCTTCCTTACCTGATATGTTGAGCTCTGGCGAGAGGTGGGGGACAAAGCGTGCGCCCAGCCCCACGGCACGGTACTGCCTCTTGACCCTCTCTGTCCTGAAGGCCGTGAGTGACGCGTCACCAGTGATGATGGGAGGGAAGGCAGCTGAGGAAAGAGCATCCCAGCACACAGCTGGTGGTTTGCTACACGGCCTTGGCACCCCTGGGCTCTGAGTCCCTCCTGGCGAGGACGGGACCCCAGGCAGATGCTGCCGTGACTGCCCACCAACAAGGCCCTCACGTTGCACAGCATGGTGGCATCTCCCAGGCTTGGAGACCAGCCAGCTGGGCAATGCAACTCCAAGACCTTGGTGACTTCTTTCCTGTCTCTCATGGAGCAAGAGAGCCCAGGGAGGGAGCAGGGCGCCGCCTGGTTACCCAAGCTGTACCCTCTCGGAGGTGAGGATCAGCTCCACTTACCGAGTACTGCCTTCTTCTGCTGGAAGTCAGCTGCGAGGCTCTGGGTGGCCAGGCCCAGGGCCACATCCCCTGTGCTCAGTGAATCGTAGATACACTCCTTGCTGCCTCGGCACTGCGAGGCTGCCAGCCGGTACTGGCTTTCATTCTCCTGCCGCAGCCGAGACAAGAAGATGGGTGTGAAGTTCATTACTGGTGAGTCCAGTGGCTGAGCAAACAGGCTGTGCTCTGCAACAGCCCCTGCAAGAGAGCATACCAAGGGTACAGCCTTGGGGGTTTAAGGTTTGTTATATTTTAAGGCTCATTTCCACAGAGCAGTGAGGTTTCCCTGGCATCACTTTTGCTCGGACAAGTGTCTAAATGTCTCCAGCCAAAGCATGGCCAGAAGGTGCAGTAATGGGGGGGGATTGTCACGGTGGATCCCAAATCTAGACATACAGGTCATCCCGTAGTTGTAGATCTTCTCCTCACTGCTGTTCACAGGGATGCTGGTACCGTTCGGCATCTGGAAGTCATCCGCAGGGTCGTGGTCCCACACACCTGATGGAGCATCACCAGAGGACTGGAGTCCCCCATGCTGGGGTTGACCTCCTCTCTGGTGCTGGCCAGTTTAGACCCAGGGATCCCTGCCCTCACGAGCATGTTCCCCCCAGCATTTTCCAGCCTGCTTTAGGATGGGAAGGGGACATTGCACCCTGGCTTTGCAGCGGTGCCAGAAGTCCTCACCCAGGAGGCCCTTGGTGCTGTTGCGGTACAAATCAGGAAGGCTGCAGACCATGCTGAGGATCCCAGAGGTGGCCGAGATGGAGACAGCAATGGCCCCTTCGAAGACGGCTGTGACAGAGGAGGCATTGATCAGCAGGACACCAGGACTGTAGTACACCTCGGCACCCATGTCTGCAAGAGAAGGAGAGAACAACGGGAGAGTCCACAGAAGGTTGGGGTCTGAAACGATGCCCCTGAATTTGGGGATCCCTTCCATGCTGGCTCAGTCAGAGACAGGGTGCAGATGGGAGACGTTTGATGGAGCTCAGGATGGCTGCCCTTGTGCTGGGCAGGCCTGGTCCCTGTGGGATGGGGACACCCCTCATCCCCCCTCAGGTACATTTAACAGCACAACCTGCTCACCTTGGGAATAGGAAAACTGGATGGATTCATCGTTCAGGAGGACTTGGATGTCACCCTGGTTCCCCAAGTTCCACTCAACCTGCAAATCATGGCAGATGTCCCAGTCAGACCCTCTGCTTGTCCCTTCCTGCTGTCCCTCCATTCTGGGGACACTCAAGCTAAACCCCATCCTCCTCCAGCCTCGGCAGAGACGCTCAGCCGCAGGGGCCATGTTGACATGCTCTTCACCCCAGCAAGCACGTGAGAAAGCAGCTTTGATGGTTGCACAGAAGAGGACAGCAAGCTGTGCCCTGTTGCTGCTGACAAGGGACATGCACGGGCCACCAGTGCTGCTCAGCTGACTGTGGCAGCGTGGAGAGCTGTGCTGGTGGACTCCAGGCTCTGAGCTCCCTCCTCACACTGCTCAGCGGCCAATTCTGGTGACACCAGGTGATTTTGCTTACTGAAATGGATGTGGGGAGCAATTCTGCAAAGCAAGGAAGAGTACATGCTTGTGTTGACATGTCTGGAGGAGACCAGTAATCTGGGCGAAGGGTGTGCGATCAGGAGAGTGGAGCAAACCACGTTCCTGCAGAGCTCCAGGCCCTTGCTGGACAGCTTGCAAGAGGTGTTAGAGCTGTGTCTCATTAGTCTTAGTCTGACCCACCGCAATTAGCACTTTGTTGGGGTCTTGGAGGTGGTAGGGAGAGGGGATGCTCCTTACGACCAGGCTACTTGTAGGTGATGTGGAGGAGATGCCCAACCTGACAGAGGGGTCTCTCCCTCTGGCAGCTGAAACTGATACCCAGGTTATTCCTACTCACTGTTGTGGTGGTGGCAGAGATGTACTGGGCAGCGAAGGCCACAAAGTTAGTGGCCTGGGCTGTGCCAGTCTGAGCTGTGCGCCCATGAAGCACAAAGCTGGTCCGGGCATCACTGGCCAGCAGCAGGACAAAGTCCCCGAGCCCGTTGAAGGTGTAGGTGAGTCCATCCAGGGTGGTGATGTGGGGGTCCCCGAAAGCGCCAGCTGGGGTCCAAAGCAGATGGGGCCGTTTTGGAAGGAGGAAGAAAAAGAAATGCTGGTGTCACTGCATGGAGTGGAGAGGGCCTGGTGCTACGCTGGGCTCAGCAGTCCCCACTGGGATGCTGCAAAGTGTGGTTAACGCACAGGATCCGCGTACGGCTGTGCCACCCACTTACTGCCCTGGCACGGAGGAGGTAGAGCCCTGAGGACTCACCGGGGGTGGGCGGCACGTATCCCTCACAGCCGACCCTTGGTCTCTTCTCAGCAAACCTGGCACAGAACAGGGGCTTCCCTACGCGCCGGCAGCACCAGTCGAATGCCTCCAGCTCCCCATCTGTGGAGGAAGGGGGCTGGGAGCTGGGGGGGGTCGGGGTCCCCGCTGTGCCCGCAGAGCCCTCGGTGCTCGGGGTGTTTTAGGGTGAGGGAGCGCCGGTGCTCACTTACCAGCGGTGGGGCGGGTGGGGAGGGTCCATGCTCTCTCCTGCCAGCCTTCGAGCAAGCTCCCGTCTTGGTACAGACACCGCACCCCGGCTCCGGCCGGGCTGGGGGATGCAGCGCGCAGCATCCTCACGGAGGTGTCTGCTGGGCCTGAAAGGGTGTGGGGGGGGTTATGGCTGCCCCCAGAGCGGGAGGGGAGCCCCTGCCATCCCCCCGCCCGGCGTCTGGCCCTGGTGGGGGCCGTGTTTGGCACCTCTGCTCCGGCGGTAGCGAGGGTCCAGCTCTGCCTGGGGCTGGGAGCAGGGGCATGGCGGCAGCCGGCTGTTCCAGGCAGCCGGCGCTGGCTGTGCGTCCAGCCACGTCAGGCACCGCAGCCTGTAGTTCACCCGGGAGCGACTGTCCAGCCTGTATATCCACAGCCCGCGCACATCTAGGGGAGCAACCGGAGAACAGCACAGCCCACCTTGGGCTGAGGGGGATCCCGTGGGACAGCCATCCCTGGCCACTGGCCTTACACGAGGTCTCCAGGCTCCCTCTAGAGCCGGCGTGGCCGTGGCAAACCACGGCAGGACACGGGACACCTGTGCTCTGCTCTCGGTTGCCAGCCACTGCCCAGTGGCTTTGCTGTCCCATCGCCTCGCAGGGATGCACGTCAGGGACGTGGTCCCAGTGTGAAGCACATGGCTCCCTCCAACCCCACCCGCCCCGTGGGCTCCCCCAGTGCCGTACCGGTGCCAGCGCCCCTGTGCTGGTCGGGTCGGTACTTGACAGCTGGCGGCTCTTGAGTCAGCTCATTATTTTTGGCATAGCCATCGCCGCTGTGTGGAGAGAGGAGGTTTGGGGTCACTCTCTCAACACAACCCTCCTCTGCTCCCCGTAGAGCAGCTGGGGTGGGAACTGCTGCAGTTTGAAGGAGAGAGGGCTTAAATGGGAGAGGCTCGCTCCGAAGGCGGGAGCCGGGCTTTCCTGGGAATAACATCTCCAGTGGTCACAAAACAGTGCTGGGGGAAATGCCCTCTGCAAAATGCAGCCGCACACGTTTGCAGCACCTGGAGAAGCCGATCAGCACGTTGCCTGCAGCCAGCCTGGCATAATCCCACCGCATCCCGCCGTCCTGGTAGAGCAGCAGGGCGAAGGAACAGTTCCCATCGGTGGTGAGGACCGCCTGGTAGGTGCTCGTCTGGAGAAACCCAAGGCACCCGCTGAGCACCCCCAAAGCCCCCTCTGATCTCCACGTGGCGCGGACTGAGGTGGTGAGAACCAAAATGTCCACACCAAGCCCCAGGAGACCAGCGGCCCAGCCCTGCCCTGGCCATCACCGGTGACAGTCACCTCTGTCACCTGGGTCCCCCACTGCTCACCTGAGTGTCATCCCACCGGGATGGGTATGCTGGAGCCTTCTCCCATGTCACCTTCAAGGTCCATTTTGCTACGTAGGGGGTTTTCAGGTATTTCTCAATCTTTGCTTCCACGTCACGGACGAGGGGGTCTTGGGTAGAGCTGAGGGTGGAGTACTCCTGCCGGTTGGCAAGAGAGAGGGTTAAATTCCAGGGCGAGCTGGAATCTGGGCTCTCCCAGGAGAACATCTTTGGTGGTCCCGACCTGGTACCAGGTGGTGCCGACACCCTGGGAGAAATCTGCATCATCCCAAAAGGCAGCCACCATTGGCAAACTCTCCCGGCCGCTGAAGCCCAGGGGAGGTGGGTTGGGGTTGGAGGGAACGTAGTTGTCCGTGGGTGGGAAAATGATCTGTCCGTTATCTGTAAACTAACCAAAACAACTCATTATTTGCTGACATCCCAGGCACCTTCTGGGATGGCTTTTAGCCTCCATGGGTGAGCAGAAACCAGCCATTTAAATTGCCAAAAAAACCCAACCAAACAAACATGCAGTTGAAATTTGGTTTCTACTCCATTTCCATGGGGCTTTTTTCTACTAAAGAGGCTGCACATCCCTTGTGTGCTTTGAGAGGGGGGAACTCACATAGAGAGCATCGCGCAGCGACTTCCCAAAGGGGAATCCAATCTCTGGCTTGAACAGGGGGGAGTTAAAATCCACTGTCCTCTGGATGCACTCTTGGTCCCCTCCCTCTGTGCCGAAGGGGTAGAGTGAGGCTGCTGGCACTAATACAGGCAAGAGATTAATCAGAAAGGTGAAAAAACATTAATGTCTGATCCATCCTTCCTGCAGCCGGGACAAACTCACCTGCTTGTTGCTGGGATGCTGTCCTGCATTCCCCCCAGACAGATCAGCACTCTGATGGCTTGTAACCCAATTTGTAACCCAGCTTTTAACTTGAACTAGGATCCTCTCACATCTCATGTTTCACCTTTCCCCATGAATCTGGCAGCCCAATGTGCAATGCAGACAGGTCACCCAGTGCCCTCAGCCATCACTGTGCTTGGGTGGCTGAAAAACCCTTTTTCCTTTTCGCTTTGGAAAGAAGAAAATCCACTTACTGATAAGCCCCTGGGTGGGTTGGGGGTCAGGGGCAGGATTTCTGTGTCCAGCAGTGGTGTGGGCAGCTGTGTGTGGTGTTGCGGCCGGTTCCCTCTGTGTCCCAAAGGCAGGAGCTGGGGCGGTGGCAGGGCTGGTGGTGGCAGGTGGCCTCCCCCGTGCCGTGGTGCCTGGGGTTGAGAGAGCTCCCGTCTCCTTGGCTGGGCCCACTGGGGCTGTGGGTGCAACAGCCGCGGCGCTGCCTGCGGTGCTGCCTGCAGTGATGGCTGCAGTGATGGTTGTGGTGCTGCCTGCAGTGCTGCCTGCAGTGATGGCTGCAGTGATTGCTGCGGTGCTGCCTGCAGTGCTGCCTGCGGAGATGGCCGTGGTGCTGCCTGCGGTGCTGCCTGCAGTGCTGGCTGCAGTGATGGCTGTGGTTATTGCTGCAGTGCTGCCTGCAGTGATTGCTGCGGTGCTGCCTGCGGCGATGGCCGTGGTGCTGCCTGCGGTGCTGCCTGCGGTGCTGCCTGCAGTGCTCCCTGCAGCGCTGCCTGTGGTGCTCCCTGCAGCGATGGCTGTTTTCTCTCCCCAGGCAGGTGCCCCTGCAGATGCCCAGAAGCTGGGAGGTGACGTGCTGGCTGCCTGTCCCATCTCATAGTTGCCGATGGCCGTGGGAGAAGTGGTGCCTGTTGCCAGCTCAGGGGGTGTCTGTCCAACTGCCGGCTGCCCAGTTACACCAACACCGAACAGAGATGAGGGGGCTGTTGCTGGCTCCTCCGCTGGGCTGTGCGGGCTGGGGAGGGGTGAACCGGGCACCGTGATGGCAGGGCTGGGACTGAGGACATCCCAGGACTCAACCGTTGTCTCCACCGAGGAGGTACGTGCTGCTGGGGACAGGATGGGTTTCCTGCCTCCGCTTGCCTCGTCGTGTGTTACAGCAAGGGACAGGGCACTGCTGGTGCTGGTGGCCTTCGCTGTGGCAGATGACATGGCTGTGGTGGCCCTGGTTACCATGAAGGTCTCCCCGCTGGCTGAGGTGGCTGGTGGAATGGTGGTGCTGTGGAACATGCTGAAGTCTGGCGTGGTGGCTGGGCTTGTGCCAGCGGTGTTGGAGAAGGGCATGGGGGTGCCAGTGGTGCTGGCTGGGGGTGCTGCACCCTCAGCACTGTTCTCCGAGTGGGTGGTGTCCACCTGGGTGATGGTACCCCCAGCACCTGACCAGGACACGGCTGTAGCCTCCCATGTGTGTGTGCGGCCAACAGCCAGCGAGGAGACCCCAGCCATGGGCTCGTCCTCCACAACCAGGCTGTGAGCCCTCGAAGCTGCGTCGTGGGTGCTATCGATAGCCTCAGAGGATGGCCTCAGGGTGACACGGGAGCTGTGTGGAGCTGAGGCACTGCTGGGAACAGCAGTGGAGGGTGTTGTGACCCTGTTAAGACTGGCATCTCCTGCTCCTGTTGCTGAACCAGTGACAGTGATGCTGAGGGTGACGGAGGTTGGCACCGCCATTGGATGGGTGTTCCTGGGGACAGGAGGGGGCACACTGTCGTTTGGCTCAGCAGTGCTGTGAGCGAGGCCGGAGGAAGGTGCTAAAACTGGCTCCAGGTCTGTGGGTGACGCTGTGCCCGTGATGGCCACTGCTGTAGGGCTTCTGCTGCCCAGGGCAGAGCGGGCCAACGGGGTGGCACCACCGGTGCCTGGCTCAGCCACCCCAGCTGTAGGAGTGGGCAATGCCAGGGGCAGCCCCGCAGCCCCATTCCCCGTTGTGGGAGAAGCCCTGTCCGTGTCCATGTCCAAGTCCATGCCCGTGTCCGTGTCCGTGCCCGTGGTGGGCTCAGCAGCGCGGTAGCTGTGGCCTGATGCAGCCGTGCTCGGCCGAGCAGCGACGCTGGCTGTGGTGGGGGGTGACACTGGTGGGGCTGCCCCCAGGGCGGTGTCACCGCTGTGGTGGGTACCTGTAATGGCATCCAACCTTGTGATTTCAACCGGGGTTGAGCCTGGAGCCGCCTGTGTGGTGCTGCCATCTCCTGCTGGCTGGGACCCGCCCCCGCCTCCCTCCACTGCTGCGTTTTTGGGGGGCAGCAGTGTCATGGGCTGGGGTGTCTTACCAGTGGTGGCATTGGGGAGGGGGCTGGCCACAGCCGGTGGGGCTGAGCGACCCTCCCTGGGAGCCAGGAGAGGCAGATCCAGTGGGGGCCTGCTTTTGGGAGTGCCAGTCCCTCGGGCAGATGGCTCTGGTGATGGTCCGGCGGTGACGATCGCGTGGCTGGGAGCTGGTCCCGCCGCACGGGCACCCAGGCTCTCCTCCGTGCCCACCTCCAGGGATGCCGTCCCCACAGCTTGCCCCGTGGTTCTGTCATTGGAGAGGAGGATACCCGAAGCAGGCATTGCTGGCGGTGGGGTGGCCGGGGACAGGGGGGACATGCCTGCTGTCGTCTCTTGGGGGACGCTGGCTGCGGACACCATCCCTGCAGTGGCACTGCCTTCCAGGAGAGGGGGGACGCCTGCTCGCGTTGCCATGGGGACGCTGGCTGTTCTGGGTACCCCCGGGGTGTCCGGCACAGCCGTGCCTGTGCCTGGTGCAGCGCTGGGTGACCACATCTCTGTCCCTGGAGCTGCCCCATGTCGCGGCCCAGCCTGGAGCGGTGGGGCTGGTGCAAGTCCAGGGGTGACACCGGTTTCTGGGGGTGCTGAGCCCGAGGTAGGACCAGGCTGGCTGCGGCTGGAAATTGCATCAGGCACAACGGGGGTGGCTCCGGTGTCCTGCAGCACTGTGGTGGCATTGCCACTGCCCAGCGATGCTGCTCCCATCCCTGCTTCACTAATTGGAGTGTTGCTAACGAGGGAGGATGAATAAGCAGTTGGCCCAGTCCCAGTGCCATATGCACTGAGGGGAGATATTGGTGCATCAGTGGCTTGAGGGGCTTTGTCTGGCTTTGCTCCACCAGTGCCCATGAGGGACAAGGATGTGCTAGCACTGGGTCTGGGTTCAGGGGATGAGCCTGCAGCCACCTCTGCTGTGATGGCCCCAGGTCCTGCTGAGGGGGTCTGGGCAAGCAGAGACCCCATGGAGCGTGCAAAGGGCCCTGCAGAGGAACCACCAAGGCCATTGGAAGCTGGGTGTGGGGCTGGCCTCATGCTGAGCCCCACTGTGGTGGCCTTGGTCTCTGGGAAAGCGGTGCCTGCTGTGGCTCTGGTGCTGGACTCGCTCTTGTTGGACACCAGCTCAGCACCGGTGCTTCCCAGAGCTGGGACATGCGTTGCAGCCGTGACATCCATCATCACAGCCGGTGTGCCCGGAGGTAGTGCGGTGGCCTGGGGGTGGGTGGCAGAGTTGGCTCCAGGAAGCCCTTCTCCAGCAGTGCCGGGGGCCGCGCTGCGGCTGGGGGGAAGCGCCTCTCCCGCATCTGGCACAGCATCACTGGGGAGCTGGGGCGAAAGGGCTGGAGGCGGCTGAGTGGGGGGTAGAGGGGGGTCCTGCAAGGCGCTGTGGCCAGCGTTGGGTAAGGCATGTGTCCCTGGCTCTGTAGCTTTGCCAACGACAATGGTGACAGAAGAAAAGGTGACCTTTGCTGAGGATGCACTTGCAGGGGCTGCAGATTGCGGGGCTGCCGTCCTGGCTCCCTCTGTGGCTGCACGGGGGGGAGCCCCAAGGAGGCCTGTGGCAGGGCTGTTTGAGGCTGCTGCTGGCTTCACGGGGCTGCCTGTGTCCTGGGAGATGCTGGCTGCTGTAGCTGGAGGTGAGGTGGCCTCCTCCAGCCCTGGTGTGACCTCCTGGGACAGGAGTGCAGTGGTTGCATGCGGCTCAGCAGAGCTCTTGCTGAGGCTGGGGGGTGACATCCCTGTGCTGTGCTTGTTCTGGGGGAGCAATGGCACTGTGGCCCATGCTGTCCCCGGCCTCCCCTCCACAGTGACAGCATCACCCAGCTGCACCAAATCATTGGCATCAATCAATTTGCCAGTGACTGAGGAAGATGCTGTTGTCCCTGGCACAGGTTGAGGAGCTGGGACTTGTGCCACTGGCGGGGCCAGACCTCTGCCTGGTGCTGGGGGATCACCTCTCAGTGCACCGGCAGCACCCACGGGTGGCTCAGCCACAGTGGCCTCTTGCACGGAGACAGTTGTTCCCAGGACCGGCTCTCCTAGGACGCTGTCCGGAGCCACCCTGGACACTTCCACACCCTGCTTGGGAGCGGTGCTGCTGTTTGATGGCGTTCTGCTTGTCTCCATTCCAGTGGGGACCCCTGGAGCTGGAGATGATGTGGCAGTGGCTGGCCCAGCACCGCCACCACCCCTGGAAAAACCCACCGCGTGTCCCGTTGGTGCGAGGGACGGAAGCTGCCTGTGCCCAGCGGCGGTGGGAGCCGGAGGGACACTGGTCGGGTGGCTGACAACGCCTGGAGAGGAGACCCCAGCCCCTGCCTGGGGGCTGCCTCGCGTTGCCGGACCTCCGGGGAGAGCTGCTGCACTGGGAGGCCCCCCCGGCTCACCACCGGTCTTGGCTGGGACCAGCACTCTCCCTGTCACCTGCGGCACCAGGCTGTCTGCAGGGTGAAACAAGGTGGCCCCAGCTGGATCGACCCTGCCGTGGCCCCGGCAAGCAGGAACCTGCCCGTGGCTAGCTGCCCGCGGCCTTACCGGAGCCGTGGCTGCCCGCAGAGGCAGTGGTCCTGCCGGCGGGAGAGGGGTGCTCCGGCCGGGCGGCTGCGGCTTTGGGGAGCGCCTGGCACGTGCCCAGGTCCGCAGGCAACTCGGCGCTGGCGCTGTCGGCTGCAGGGGAGATGCTGCCCAGCTCTGCCAGGGCTGGTCTGAGGGCAAGGGACTGCTCCCCCACCTCCCCGGCTTGCGGCAGAGCAGGTAGGTGAGGGCAGGATCAGGAAAAAAAACAGCCTGAGGTCCCCGTCACCCCCATCCCTCCTCCCTGCTCCGGGGTGAAGGTGCCCCCAGCCCTTAGGGGTGGTCCGCACCCCAGCACCCCCAGCTGGACCAATGCCAAGAGCAAGACAAGCACCTTCACCACAGGCAAAAGTCCCCATTTGACCCATAAACCCCCAACCCCTTCCCCTGCCGCGGTTGGGGCACCTTGCCGAGGCTGTGGCACCAGCGGGCAGGGACAGGGCAAACCCCAGCTGGGCGCCCAGGCTCAAACATGCAGCGTTCGAGCAGCCAAAGGGTTGTTCGCAGCCCATCACCCGTCACCCAGACACAGCGGTGCAAGTGACCCCGGCACTTACCTGGTAGCACCCAGAGACCCCACAGCACCCAGCTCCAGAGCAGCCACTGGTCCCGGCACCCCATGGCGCTCCCTTGGTGGCAAGGACAGGGCTGTAGTTCTCCCTGTCCCGGGGGAGCGACGCAACAGGGTGGCTCTGCCAGCGAGCACTCCCACTGGGTGGGGGGGACGGGGATGCCACGTGCCCTGCCTGGGGCACCGATGGCCCCCGTGTCCCCACAGCCTGCCACAGAGGTGGCCGCGTCCGAGTCCTGAGGACCCACGGATGCTGAGGGACACCCATTCTGTCATGGGAAGTTTTAAGGCTCTTCCCGGGGTGACCCCATGGTCCACACCCCAAGGTTGGGGTCCCCAACCCCGGGGGAGCACCCGACGGGCTGCGAAGTCACCAGGTCCAGAGGGATGGCAATTGGGGGACAGGGGTCCCCAACACCTCTGGGAGGGGTGGGTCAGCCCTGGGCCCTGCACCCCGCCGCCCACCCCCCTGTTTGCTGCCGGGTCCCTGCCACGCTCGGCCGCACGGCCGGTAACCCCTGGCAGGGGTTGGCTCGATGCCGAGGAGGAAGAAGGAAGGAGCAGCCTGGCGCTGCCGCCGCGGGGTCCCGCGTGTTAACCCTGCCCTGGCCCCCCTCCTGGCGCTGCCGGCACCACCGCCCCGGGACCTGCGTGCAGGGGTTATCTGTGCCATCGCAGCAAACACCTACGCAAGCCCGGCCGGGGGGGGTTTGTTCCTGCACGGGTGGCGGGGCCAGGCCTTGCCCTGGGTTGCAGGTCACCTTCTGCCGGGGACAGAGGCCGGGCACATACAGCCATGGCAAAGGGAACCAGTGGGGACACTGCAGCACACACACCTTTGCTTCTTTGCAGGGCCTAGCTCAGCTCCAGGATCATTTAAGAGGGGGGGGAAATAGGTCTGTGAAGGCATTGTGCTTTCCTTGTGCTCCACTGTCATCCCACTTGGCTGCCACACCATGGCAGCTGCACCTTAGATAGGGAAACTGAGGCACGGAGAGTCCAAAGCACCTATGCGTGACTGTGCCCACAGCAGCATCAGCCAATCTCCCCATCCCCACGCCCAGGAGGGGCCATGGGGACGGAGATGAGCAGAGATGAGGGTTCACGTGGCACATAGGTGATACAGGCAGGTACCGTCTGCCACGGGGAAGGACCCACGGCCAGGCCAAGGCAGCCCTTCCTGCCAGGCAGCTCACCATGGGCGGCCGGGTCTCTCCTCTGAAGCCACCAGCTCTGGAGCAGAGGGCATCCTGGGGACCAGGTGCCACCAATGCCCATGGACCCGGTGGGTTTGGGCACTCAGGTCCTCCTCCACCTGCTCAGAGATCCCCTCCCTGATGCTGCGGCAAAGTGGCACCTCAGGGAACCCAGCTAAGGGGCTCCGACACCCACTCGGGGGGGTGGGAGGTGGGGTTAGCACTGCCACCTGACCTGGGACGCCATGGGGACCGCCAGCCCCCCCAAACCCTCCCCCTCCACGGGCACCTGGCTCCGGCTGCACGGTGGCACCCAGTTGCACAACGGCCCTTGCGTGGGTGGGGGCGCGACGCAGGACCCGCCACTCCCTGCCCGGGCATGAGTCAGGCAGCAGCCGAGTCCCGTGGGGCGCCGGGGCAAGGGGTGGGGGGCCCTGGCGTGGGGGCTCCCCTGCACGGGGACATCGCCGTGGGCAGGCAACCATGCCCAGCCTTCAAGTTTTGGGCACAGGGGTAGGGGCAACAGAACTTGCCTAACTCCAGCAGCCCCAGATGGGGAGACCTTTGCACCCCAAAAGAGCCATCACTGGGGGGTTTTAGGGGTGCCTGCGTCATACAGCTTCCCTGGGGATCCCCAGCGCCTGCTGGGCCCCACAGCACATGTGCATCCCCTTCCGGGCACCCTGCACCCAGGTTCTGTCCCCGTGGCAGGTCCCATGGGTCACGGCCCCTGCTACCTGCAGGGTGGAACCAGCACCCACGGAGACATGGCCTGTCCCTGGGCGTTGGCAGGGATGAACCTGGGAGACGGCCACAGGCGCCCTCCTCCTCTCCATAGAATATTTTTTATATATATATAATATATATATATATTAAAATTACATTTCTCTTTACAAAAACAATTAAACAAGGGGCCAGGGGACAGAGCCCATTACCGAAGCCAGGGTGCAGGCACCCTGGCAAGTCTGGGGTGCTGGGCAGGCTCCCTTTCGGGGTGTCCCCGTCCCCCAAGTGGGAGCTCCAGTCCAGCGTCCAGCAGCAGGTTGCGTGGGTGTGGGTGGGCACCAGGGGAGTGGCCCCGTGGCGAAATGCCTGCTCCAGCTCCAACGCAGCTCACCCCATCCCCGCTGTCACCGCCTGTAAGGAGAGGAGAGGACTTGAGGTCAGGAGGGGTGATGGTGCCAGCTGGCCAAGGGCAGGATGGCACGGAGACCCCCACACCCCCAAAAAACCATCCGTGCCCTTACTTCTGGCGGGCAGTGCTGTAGGGATCAAGGAGGTGGGAGCTGGCCTGGGCCAGGTTCCAGTCAAACATCTCCAGCACCCGGTGGCATTCGACACGGGACTTCAGCCCCAGGCAGAAGAGCTGTTCCACCTGCAAGGGGACGTGGCATGGTGAGGCGGGGGGTGACAGGGGTGCCACTGGGGTTGAGGGGGACAGGGGCATGCGGTACCTTCAGGTACTGGATGGCCCGTTGGACGCTCCAGCCGTGGTTCTGCAGGGCTGCCTGGCACTCCTCGGTGGTCACGCCGTGCACCGTGT